CCTTTCCGCCGAGTAGCTCGCGATTACCTGCAACCCTTTTCCCGAGCCAATCAGACGGGCGAATTATCTTCATTCTTGTCGAAATTTTCACGAGTAGCTCGCGATTATCCTTTACCCATTTACTCGATTTACTCGCACGGGTCTCCGCGCGAGTAACCCGTAGAAAAATTTGCGGGTCGCCCGGAAAAAATGCCAGGTAAAACCAAAGGACTCGAAATCAACAGGCATGATTATAGATATAAATTGTACCGTATAATCCAGGCTTCTCCCGCATTTCCCAAAATCCCGTATTTCTCAAATCGCCAAATCAGGATAATCCTGAATCCGATTTTCAATAAGGATTTCTGAGTGAAATCCTGACCCCCTTTTAATAGCTCATTCGAAAGAGCGTAAAAATTACCCAAGAAAAATCCGGAAAATTTTGAAATTGTGTCGAACATGACGTCACAGCACGTGATTGAAGTTTTAAAAGTACTGGATTTCTCCTACGCCCGCATTTCTAAGTCCTCTTAGCCACCCGGGCGTGTGATACATAAAAATGATCGTCTCGTTGAGCTCTAGGTCAGCATTTAATTTTCATCCCATTTTACAAATTCTTTCAACCCTTTTTAAATCAGCTGTATGCCGAAAATATTGATTTTGATAAAGAAAGGTTGAGAAGGTTTGAAACTAAATGCTGACCTTGAGCTCAACAAGACGATCATTTTCATGTATCATACGCCCGGATAGCCAAGAGGACTCATAAATGCGGGCGTAGGAGAAATCCGGTACTTTGGAACTTTAATCACGTGCAGTGACGTCATTTCCAATAAAACTTCAAGATTTTTTGGGTGTTTTTCGGTTAATTTTGAGCTCTTTCGAATGAGCTAATAAAAAGAGAGGTCTGAATTTCACTCAGAAATCCTTATTGAAAATCGTTAATTCCGCCGATTCAGGATTTTGGGCAAACGGCGACTTTGGCAAATGGAGACCAAACGGACATGAAATTTTAGCTGAATCCTTCATTCCTCAAAATCCTGCTTTTCTCAATCCTCCATTTCCAAAAATCCTGAATCGGCAGAATTCTGAATTGGCGATTTGAGAAATGCGGGATTTTGGGAAATGCGGGAGCAGCGAGATTGGGCTATAATTTAGCCTATAAAAGAACTTCTTTTGATGACCAGAAAAATGAAGTAAGGTTCGCTAAGAACCTTCTCATCGAACCGTACTTGAGAGGTCTATTTTGGCGAACCGTTCGTCAACCAAAATTTTCTTGCTTCGCTTGACGAACATTGAAATGTTTTCGCCTTTGCTTCGCTTTCGCCTTGATTTTTGGCAAATTTGAATGCCTGGGGTAGTAAAAATTTTGGGGGGTACTGAATTGTGCCGCCCTGCGCCGCCCAGCGTCGCCCGGTCCGAAACCATCCGGCTCTCATTCGACCCAACTATGACCTAGGAAATTGTTCTGAACAAGAGCGAGAGTTTTGCCCCGCCAACCCAATGAGTTCTCTACCAGAAAATGCGCGCGTAAGGGCCTCTGCCTCGTCGCGCGCTCAATTAATTTGTGATTTTATGCCAAAATCTGAGTTTGGTTGAGAATTACTCTACTGGCACCCAAAATTATAGGATTGCCTTTTTAATTTTCAGACAATATAAATATGTCAGAATAACTTACTTTATATAAAAATCAAAATTACCCGCTTTTGAAAGACAAAATTTTCGCTCGAGCGTCGCTCAAATGTCGCTCAAATGTCGCTCAGATTTCGCTCAAACCTCGCTCAAATCTCGCTCAAACGTCGCTCGCTCAGTCGCTCCGCTCGCTCAGCCGATATTTGAAAAATCTCGCTCAGCCACTCGCTCGCTCAGCCCTCGCTCAAACGTCGCTCGCTCATCGCTCGCTCAAATTCAAAATTTTTTGGCCAAATTTGGAACCCTGGTCTAATATGGGTAAAATTCCAAGTTTTTTTAATGACCACGAAAAATTCCAATTTGAAGATTACAAATCATGTGAAAATAACGTTTATCAAGTGGGTCGACACTTTGCGCTAGAATTAATTACCAAAAACACAGCTTTTGGTGATCACCCCAGAAATATTTCAAATTTTGAAGTGATGATCCACCAAAGAGGGTTGGAATCCGCGTCGAGTTTTCAACACATCGAAATGATCAAAAATCAAGAATTTTAATTTTTAAACGGCTGAGCGGCGAGGGGAAATTTCAGGAAGTGAGAAATTCCGTTTCTTCACGATGGCAGTTATCAGAAAATCCGGAAGAATGTCCGACAGGCAACCACGCCCACGCGGATCATAGGGATTTTACATTTTGATAACAGATCGTGGTAAATTTCGTGAAACAGTGCCAAATTATTCCGAGCTCATTATCAGTTTCCTTTACGTGGCGGAATAATAATTTAACCTTATCAAACTTGTATCCAAAGAGCTAACCCTAACTCTATTAAATTTGGGCTCTCCAATGGAGTCTCCACTGAGCTTGACTCGGCTACCTGTGTAGAAAACCTGAGTCAGGATCTGAATGATCTCAAATGAAAAGCCGCGTAGCGGCTTTTATAACGAAGCCGCGAAGCGGCTTTGCAAAATAATCATTAGGCGGCTTTTCACTTGAGATCATTCAGATCCTAACTCAGGTTTTCTACGCATCAGGTTGCCGATCCCGATATTGAGGAATATTCAATCTGATCAAATAAGGGCCGTCGGATTAGGAGACCCCCTTTTATATCAATTTCTTTTTTAGTGTTTTAGCCAGAGAAACTCTGTTTTAGAGCTTCCGTATAACATTGCCAAATCCCTACTAGTAGTAGCCTCGTAGCGAAAACTTACTCACCCACAAATAAGCAAATCAACCCCATATTCCCACAACAAGCCCTATACAAAATAAAAAAGGGATAAGCTGATAAGCCGACCGTGATCGTGGGAGAGCATTATTTGCGATATTTTCGAAACGAGAACTCAGAGGGAGCTCAACCCCAGCGCGGGTCAAGGGGAGGTCACGAGGGATTAAAAACTGATAAGGTGATTATGGGGATTGATAAGAGTAGTAAAAGCTAATAGTGAAAATTGGGGTATCAATTGGGATATCTAACTAGGGCAGTTCTTTGTTTGGATTGCGAAAGAAGAGCTAATTACTATCTGATTGCACTTTTGCTAAAAACGACAGAAGTGTTACTGTAACACTATTGCTTCTTTGTGGAATTCAGTTAATGAAAAATTCACTGTATCGATCGGATAACCTTAATCAACCGATTACACCTTGTTTAATCCTCTTCTTAACATTAAAAATTTTGAATTTTTCATAATCTCCGTGGCCCCCCGCTGCGCACGCTTATCAGCGCAGCGGGCGACCGTCAAAATGGGGATTAATTGATTAACTCACAGCCTTACTCGAGTGGTCGCTTACAAATTTAATGAGCAAATTTGCGCTTCTATAAGTTGTTTAGTCAGGAGAAAGTTGAGCGTTCTTTTAGGCACACAAAAGGGCACACACGCATCTAACTTTTGGCGTGGTTTGACAAGTAAGGGGCTACTAATTAGACGGGAAAGGGTTTGAATGGACAAATAAAAATCACGGCGGAAAAACCCGTTGAAATTTGAAAAAGGGATTTGAAGAGACTAAATGATTTTCGATACGAAATCTGGCGTGAGACATACTGTCTTGAAAATTCGAGTTTCAACCATTCTAATCCCTTTTTAGCATCTGGAACTGGCTGGCATTTGATCGATATTCTAGACTGAGTGCTAGAAACCTGTTCTCTTATGATCAACTCCATCGATTAGATAATTAATCCGGCACTTTTGCTCCTTTGAAGGCCGATTTTCCGCCGCGCCGATTTGAAAGTAATCGTCATTTTTTTGGTGACAATATGGCGACCAGCGCGGAGGCCAGAGTACAGGGCAGCCGCTTCCCGGAACCTGTCACCAATGGCGGCGCGGAAAAGGGATTGATCATTTACTTTCCGGTTTCGACGCGAAAGATGAAAAAGGGAGGGACGCTAAGGCCACGTGGACAATTTGTCAGCTGATAGAAAATGGCTATTTTCGGAAAGTGATGAAATCTGAAAGTTGATTTTTTGAGGACCTCTCTTGAAAGCGGACTGGGGTTGAAAATGCCACGATCGCCAGCTTGGCTCATTATAAGCTTTATGCAATTCAAAAATCCAAAAATTCGAAAATTTGCTATTTATTCAAACTTCTCTCCAACTCTCGAGGAGCATCTCATCAAATTTCAATAAAAATTCACAACTCAAAAGCCACCCATTTTCTACCCCTATTTTCGTCTGATAAGTGCAGCTCACTTCTAATTCCAAAAATTTGGCACAGAATCGACCACTCCACCGTCTTATCCGCTATTCAAGGGCGTCCGCAGCCTTTTTTCCTCGAAAAGCGGCTCTGGAATTGGATTTTTTTGGCAGTTTTTTCATTGCGTTTTTGGCTAAATTATTTGGCGCTCATATAATAACCTTTTTTTGGTGAAAAATAAACAAAAAATTGATAAAAGCAGCATTTTTTTATCATCGAATTGGGCTAAAACTCATTCCAAAATCGACCAAAATTCAATTTTAGAATCAACAAAAGCTTGGTAGAAGTCTACTTGTGCACGAACAAGCCCCATTAGGAGCCTAAAGATCAACCCAAGCCACCATTTTTAGCTGGTCGACCTTCCTCTTCCTGGAAAAGGCAGGCTGTCTGCGCGACAGCGCCGCCTACCCCGCTGCGCCAAAGCGCGTTTTGCGCCGCGGCGCGCGATAAGAAGGAGTCCCTCGATAAAACAACAAAACTCGAAGAGCAGGTCTAAACTCACAAAAAGAGCCAAACCGCGAAAAAAAAGTTTGAACAGAAAACAAGTAAAACGGCCACAAGTTGAAGACTTTGCCAAAGTCAAGTTTTAAATTTTTCGCTGAAAAAACATTCACACGAAGAAAAAAAAAAGAATTTAAACTTCCGCAGTGAAACATTTAGAGAGGTTCCAATAAAAAATAAGAAGAAGACTTCACAGAAACTTTAAAGATGAAGGTAAGAAATGAAAAAGACACAGTATTTTTCTTAAGGGTACTACCTTCGACTTCCAACTTCCAAGGCCAAATTATTCAAGGCCAAAGTTGGGGAAATCGAAGGTAGTACCCTTAACAAAAACTTTCTTTGGCCCAATAATAAGATAAAGAAGAAGATGGAGTACTTTTATAATCCAAAAAATGAGCGTCAATTATGCCCCATAAAATCTATTTTCACAGGTCAATTACCAAAACAACCAGACTTCCCCAGACCGGACGGGTCGGCCACTTTTTTTCCTAATTTTCCCGCTTGGCACCAATTTCCTGGCTAATTACTTCTGACACGTAAATCTGAGAGGTGCGCCAAGTCTTTTGTTGGGCTCATCCCCTTTTCTTACAAATTGTTCTTGAGTTCTTGCCAAATGGGCCTCTCGAAGTTCGCCTAATTTAAAATCAATATGACACAGATTATAAAGATTAGATAGACTCTAAGAGCTGAATATTTTATAAAATCATAATAGCATGACATCGATTTGCTTTATATAAAAAAAGGAACGCTTATCTCACTTTGGAGCGTGGCCAATAGGATTGTAAAACAATTAACATAAAAACGGACAACATTCAGAGCACCTGGGCGCTTCTCTGTTTTTGGACTCGTGAGAAACCCTCGAGTTCGATAATCTCCACTTTGCTCAAGAAGTGCTCTTTTATGGCCAAAAATGTAAATGGACAAAATAAGGTTCTACTTCTTTGAAAAATTCTACTTCGAGTGCTTCGGCAACTTTTATTTTAAAAATAGAAATGGCTATACATTTGCCAAAGCAGGAACCAAAAAGGTTACATAATCAATTAACAAAAACTAGCAGAAAAACCTTGACATTTCTCTCCACAAATATCATGGCCTAGAATTTCGTCACAACAACCTGATTATGGGTGTGACCTTCTACCGCGTTGACCCTAATTTTCCGAAAATCTTAAGCGCCCGGCCGACCCCTTTCATCCCTTTCTAGCGCCGTTTTATTCTAATAAGCCGGATCCTAATACCTTTGTGCCAGAAATTTTTTGTGGTACTTTTTCGGTGCTTTTTTGAAATGCAAATTTTTTATTATAGTGATTTTCTTATGTAAATTTTCACTTTTTCAGGTGTTTTGGTTGACGATATTGCCTGCACTGACCACAGCGGCGATTTGCCTCAAAGACACTCTGCTTCCTGTATGCGGCGGCGAGTTCAAGGCGTACAACTCGACCTTCCTTCCGAATCTTTTGGGCCAATGGTCGGCCTCAGAAGTGGCCCAGACCGCAGCAGCCCTCTTTCCTCTCCGCGCTGTTGGCTGCTCCGCGCATTTGGATCTCTTTCTTTGCTCAACTCTTTCCCCAGTCTGCCCTGGCTCCAATCCTGAAGGCGTTTTGCCCTATTTGATCCCGATTCCACCCTGCCAGAATTTGTGCGAAATCGTTGTTTCCGATTGTTCTGGAATCATGGAAGAGTTCGGCATTGATCTTCCCGAACTTTTCAACTGCCGGCAATTTCCTGACTCTCGAACGCAGCCAAGGTAGATTCCAACCAGTTTTTCTTTCCCTCAACATAAATTCTAGCGCTTCTTGCATTCCTCCATCAGACCACACCGAGCCTCTGCCAAAATCACTCATCAAATGGACCAAAACCCAAGTCAAACTTGATCCAGCCGTCTCCAAAGGTCTCCAGCAACAGTGCCCCAAAGCCCTGATGACTTCTGATGCTTCCAAAACCTTCGCTGGAATCGCCTCCTGCGAAAAGCCCTGCGACCCGATGGCAAAAGAAACTCGAGATGTCACTTTGGTCCGAATGGTGATGGCTGTCTTTTGCGTTGTTTCTGCTATGATTTCTTCGTTCTCCATCATCATCTTTCTCAAAGATCGAAAACGGTAAGCAAAAAGAATATTCACCACGTGACTAGCCTTGACCCCAAATAGAAAATCACCTGTAGATATAATCGGCCGTGTTTTTTTTCGAATTTTGATTATGCAAAAATCTTGTCCGATAACTGCCAGCTTTTTTCCAAAAAGGGCCTTGCACGTGACCCCAAATAATAACCGAGCTCCGGAAATGTGCTGTTTTGGATATTCGAAAATGGAATAAAAAGGAAGTTTTCGGAGAGGACCGTAAAATTGTTCAAGCATCATTGCTTCGAATATAAAAATCAGGTGTGAGGAAAAACGCAATTGGGGAAATCGGAAGCGATTTACAACGCGAGTATGTGTATTTATTCGAACACAGTTTTCAAACATTTTGACAGGTGCGCCATAAAAAAAGAAATCGTTAAAAAAGGGGTTTGTTGTTCCCCCGGCACTCCGGTTTTTCGCTACCCTAGGTACCTATAATTAGATACTCGCTTATCGATTCAACCCTTATCGACCGCGCTTTGATCATCAGAAAGGGGCTTATCTTGCTTTTTCCAAGAGGCAGACAGCAAGAAAGCTGTCTCAGAAGAGTGGAAAACCCACAGAGCGGGGCAAATCCTCTTCCGTTTTCCACGTGACTGGCCACATGACAACTTCCACATAGAGATACCTTGTAACCTTTCTAAATCCGTGTTGGCACATTTCCGGCTGTGTTTTTGGACAAACAAGAGAATCCAAAATTTTTCCATAAATTCCGGCAAATTATCGGTACTTCCGGAAAACAGCCCGTTTTCAACTGCTCAAAATAACAAAACTTTTCTTCAGATTTGTCTATCCCGAACGACCAACGCTGTACTTTGCCCTCTGCTACTTCATCATTTCCATCACTGTTCTTGCCACGCTCATTTCTCCAGAAGAATCTGCCTGCGCTGCTAAAAGTGATGAATCTGGCATTTCTGCGCTTTTTGCTGGCTGGAAGTCAAGCCAGTGCGTCGCTACTTTTTCCATTGTCTTCTTTTTTCAAGGTAAGAAAAAAGAATCAATTATTTTTCAAATGCAAAGTTTTCTTCAAAACAGAACAAATAATAATCATTATTTTTAAGTTGCTGCGACCATGTGGTGGCTTGTCCTGGTCCTTATCTGGGGTCTATCCCTCATCCTCGACCTCAACCTCGAAGTCATCGAATCCAAAGGCCGCTACCTCCACCTCTTCGCCTGGACACCCGCGTTGGCACTCACAACGATCGCCGTTCTCCAAAAACGCATCCAGGCCGACCCGTTTCTCGGAATTTGCGCACTTGACGGCGACCTCTCGAGCTTTTACTTTTTCTCGCTTCTTCCTCTCGTCAGCTTGACTCTCGTTGGTCTCGTCACTTTCATCGCCGGTTTGAAGAAACTGCTCTGCGTCAACTCCGACTTTGGATCCGTCTTTACCTCTGCCCCGAAGCTGGAACAGTTTCTCTTTAGAATCTCCGCCTTTTCTTGCTGCTTTCTCATCCCCAAAATCGCCGAGGAAATTCTCAAGATGTCATTCTCCAGCTTGGCCCCTCTTCTCGAATCTACCTGGTACCACGACAACTGCGCAGATCTTGGCGTCCCTTGCCCGCTCGGAGTTAGCCCAAACAAATACATCGAGCCCCTGACCGTCCTTCTTCGCTACGTCTTCTTCATCATTCCAAGCTGGGCTCCAATGGTCTGGCTCGCTAATGGAAAAAGCCTTCGCGCCTGGGGAATCAACTCAGACTCCCATTCAGCTGGAATCGAAAGCTCGCTGGAAGACTCATCTCTGTCCAGCTCACAGCATTCCCGGGAAGACTCTCAAATCCAAACTGTATAAACTTTCCAAGAATAGTACCATTCGTTCTGTAAATTTTTATTTATTCTGTAAAATCTTTTGTTCATTTTTATGTAAATTGCCCAGATTGGGAAAATAAAGTAGAAAAAGAAGAAATGATGTCTTTTTAATATTTTGTGAGACTTGTGGTCTACGTATTTTCTATTATTCAATGAATAGAAAAATCTATCTTGCCTCCATCAACCCTCAGTATATACAGGCGATAAAAGCTCCTTTTACAGTAGCAGGACGGGAGAATACGTCAGAAGGTGAAATCTTTAATGTTTTTAGCAGAAAAGAGACGAGTTTTTTAGAGAAAAAGGGGCTTCAAAATGCTAATTTGGATATATTGACAATATGTGTTCCATATATTCTCTGGGATAAGAGATCTGGCGACCGAAGAGTATTATAAAGCATGGCCTGGGATGGCTAATAATGATATGCTAAGGAGATATTGCGACCTTGGGCAACTGACAGAAGCTACGAATTGAGCTCTTCCCAATAATTTGCGTCTTTGACTGGGGCTAATTTGCGCCTTTCAGAAAATCTAACTTACTCGGACATTTTTTTATTACTTGGATGGAAGGCTGCCTTTGTTTGAATTGTGGAACCTTTTTTCAGAGAATCGCAAGAGCTAGGAAAGAAATTTCTCTTTGGGTAATTTACTATCCCAAATAACTTTCTCTTAACAATTTATAAGGGGTGCATCGACTCGTGCTTTTTGGTCGTTTTCGGCTGGGGAAAGGATGAAAATCTAACAGCAGTAATTCACCCGATTAAAACATCAGTCATGAATAAAAGAGAAGCCGATGGTGGAGAATCAGATTCGAATACCGACGAAGGAACTATTCTAATAGAAAATCTTAAAGAATGCAAGATGTGTTGAGTGCTAATTTTGCTCGAGAAATTTTGAATGGAGTTCAGAGGGATATCAAATTGAAGACATGGATGAGTGCTTTGGATATATGATCAGAGGGGAATTGGAGCCAGACGACGATGATAGGACTTGTTTTTATTACGACTAAGAAAACCGACTTTGTTTAATTGAGATTTTAAAAACTCATATAAAGTGAAGGAGGCTCTGATTCGGGTGGGGAAGTGGGGATCATCGCTGAAGTCCAGGAAAGGGTAAATTATACTGTATAATTTATACATAAGAAGAGATATCAGATAGATTTGGCCTCCGAGTCTATTTTTAGATAAAAAAAGTAAAAGCAGAGTATAAAACTTTTTAATAAAGGAATACGATGTTGGGTACGATGACGAAATTGCCGAGATGAATATTTCCGGTAACAAAACTAACCAAAAATGACTTGATGTGCTTATAAAACTTATAATCACATGTTGTAACTACTGATACTAAAGATTATGCTTCGGAAACTGATTTGAGTTCCAACTCTTCGCTTGATGCCAGTACTGATTAGGTGTTCAATGCTGTCCGATTACAGGCGACTTTAACGCGTTTTCCTCTTAGATGGAGATGGTGACAATGACGACGAAGAAAGCGACTACGAAACTGAAGCTAATGATCTTGAAATTGCCATATTTCTATAGCACTGGATACTGATTAATAAAGCATCAAAGAGGTAGTTGTCTAAAAGGATGAGAGCTAGGCAGGCTGCACTTGAGGCAACTTGAGAGTGCTGATAAGAAGAGCTCTCACCTCGTAGATCAACCTGTGCTCAAGTAAAGTGCGAGCCAAGGCTGTATTCTGCAACATTTCACCGGCGGCCTCTATTATCGTCTTTGCTCATCATCTTAATAGTGTTGATTCTCCATGATTTCATGAAAGGATTTCTGAATGATCCTTTTTTTTCAAGAATAAAAGTTATTAATTAATTGAGTCATATTCTGCCGGATAGCCGGTTAGGGTGGTCGGCGACTCGCGAGTTCTATTTTATAAATATTTTAAATAAAGGAGTGTTCTAGATTCTTGAGCCGTTGTTTTTGCGTTGTCAAAATTGTTCCTTCAAAAGAGAATTTGAATAAAAGGGCTTCCGTTCAAAGGTAAATATTCATTATTCATATTCGCGCTTTCTATTACTAATACTACCGAAACAACTCTTTCAATTTTCAACTTAAAAGAGTCTTCTTTGAAAACAACTCCAGATAACCGATTAAGGGACCCCGCCGACCAAGCTACGCGCGCGCATCTCGCCCGTTTTCACTCTCACTCTTCAGCTGGTTTAATTTTCTCGATTATCGTTATTTTTTGTAGACTAACTAAACTTTTTATGCTCTTTCATTTACATTTCTAAAAATTTCCATAGCTTATTGCTACGCTGAGTTAGGGCGAAAACGGTGACGCTCGATTTCGAGTGAACATAAGTACTCGAAATATTCGGATTGACATTTCGAGACTGCCCTCATTAAAAAGCCCGTGCCTCCTTGCATAAGGCTTACTTATTGAGATTTACTAGAAATTTATGCAGCTCTCGTAATCGAGCGGTTTATAAAGGTTCTTCTGACCAGCGCAGCGGGAATCCCGCGCCAACAGTGTAAAATGGCCGTGTTTCACGCCGAGCGCTCCAGGTAACCCGCATTAATCACCTATGCAATAACACATTGATTTTTTATCGACTTTCCATTTTCGTGGCTACCCTTTGGCGCGCAGTCTTACAAGGCCCTGCACTACTACTTTTTTCCTAGCCACTCAGCTGCGACAAAAACTTTTCGCCTTACGCTTTGCTCAAATATTTTTTCAATTGAAGAGTGAAATTGAATTTGGTAACCCCTCGAGAGTTGCGCTTTTGACCTTCTCTCCGGCAGAAGAGAAGACAGCCTTAGACGCAAATATTTAACGAGTTTTTTTAACAGAAGAGAAGTAACAAAAGAAGACAAAAATAAAAGAAGAAAAAGAAGCAAAATAATGAAGGGAGAGAAAGTGCTCAGACTGAGTCCGTCTGATAGACTCGCTTTTCAGCCGCCGTTTGAGAAGATATCAGAAGCGAAATTGCTCATCTCGAATATTTCAAATGAAACAGTTGCTTTCAAAATTAAGACCACTGCACCTAAAAGGTAAGGTCTTTTTTCTTTCAGCTTCTTTTTCGATAAATCATTAACTGTTCAGTAAAAATTACTCAGTACTCTAAGACTGGGCTCGGCAATTTGTGTGGAAAACCTGAGTCAGGGTCTAAAAACGAAGACGCTTGCAGACCCTGACTCAGGTTTTCTACACAGGTTCCCGGGCCCAGTTCTAAGCCCTCTAAAAATTCCTAAATACTAGTTTTACAGCTTTTTTTCTTTGTTTAAAATCATCCTGCTGTAAAAATAAAAATTTTTAATAACAAATTAAGGTATTGCGTTCGCCCAAATACCGGTGTCATCGGCCCACTGGAGTCCAAAGAAATTAACATTGCCCTTCAACCAGGAGACATCAACCAACGCCACAAATTCATGATCCAAAGCATCATTTACCCGGAAAACTTCGCAGATCTTGACACCCAAAAGCTCCAATCACTCTGGGTAAAAACTAATCGAGAAAATCATTTGCTAAAAGCTATTTAGTCCGTGGGAAAGGAAGATTTAATGAGCCAGAAACTTGCCGTTGATTTTCTGACAGAAAATGGATCTACAGTAAGTAATTTGGCTGAGTGATAACATGGAGGATTAACAAATGTTAATCTCCACTTCTTTGATCCAAAAGACGAAAAACTCCTTTTAGGTAATTGAAGACAAGCTTCAAACGCACAACAAGTCTCTCTCTGAAACAGTCATTCCAACTACCACAAGACGTAAGTTCAAAAAGTGCTTTCTCGGAATAAATTAAAAAATGGTAGAACCAGAGCGAGTTCAATTCGACGTTTCAACAAATGAAGTTCGCGAGCGCAAGAAATCGCCAAAAGTCTCGACTCCAGAACAAACAGCAGAATCCAAGGAAAATAAAGATGCAGCGCAAATTGCAGAGTTAAAAGGAAAACTCGCTGATGCTATGAAGCAAATTGAAATTCTATCAAGGTAAGTAGTCTTTTTAGTCGTATTTTCCTAGATAAAATAAGCTCGGGCTCAGCAAACTGTGTAGAAAACCTGAGTCAGGGTTCTGGTCAGCTGAGCGGCTTTTATCAAAGCTCTCTCAGGACCCTGACTCAGGTTTTCTGCACAAGTTGCTGAGCCCAGAACAAGCGTCTTGAAATACCGGTAGTTACTTTCGTTTATTACTCCGATTTTAGCTCACCAGTGGAAGCAGACAGCAAAAACCTAGCGATTTACCTGGCCATTGCGTTTTTCTTCGGCTTAATTTTGTCCTCCCTTTTCTACTAAATAATGTCACCACCACTCGATCGTCCGCGTGTTCAACATCCTTTCTTTTACCTATCTTCATTTAAACAACTAGATCTCACCTGCAACTCTTTTTATACAGTAAAACCAATACAGTCGGAGTCCAAAATAAGGGACTTTTTTTGCTCCCAAATTTTCGAAGAAAGTCCCTTAAATTGGGTCATCAAAGCAAAAAATGTGTCGCTTGCAAATTTTTTCGAAGCATAATTTTGCCGCAAAATAAGCTTAAGTTATTGTTTTTAGGGCTTTTAATACCTTTTTTGAAAGAGGAAAACATATTTTGCAAGAAAAATCACTTCAGTTTGTCCCAAAACCGGTTGAAATTAAGGATATTGATACCCTTCATCAGCTGTCAACTAACTGAAAAACGCTAACTAATCTTAGAAAGTCCCTTAAATTGGATTTTTTTCTGCCGCAGATTTTAGGCATTTTGAGCCAAAAAGTCCCTTATCTTGGTGTCCCTTATTTCGGACTCCGACTGTAAACAACTACCAAGAATGGTCACAAACACAAAGTGCAAATCTGGACGCGAACTTTCTAGTACAGCCATCAGATTCAGATTTCAAGGCGTCAGCTTTATGAATATTTAAAAGCAACGGTGTGTTAAATTACTCGTTTTTTGAAAAGACTTGCCTTGAATCGTCTGAAACGGAACAAAAAAGGAATCGCCAAGGAGACACTCGGCAAAATCAAAGCAAGAGCAGGGATCTCTGAACTTTGGCAGAGAGCGAAAATATTAATTTTGTAAAAGTAAGTTCATCTTTTAACACCTTGAAAAAGGTCTTTCTGGGTATTACTGTACATGGACTTTAGTTCATGGCTTTCGAAATTGTCTTGTTGACGATTTTCAGACTTATTTTTGCAATATGAGCATATCAGTTTTTGCCAGACATCTGAAATACCGACAGACACGCTATATATACTGCGGCTTCGAGATTATTTTTGTCTTTATAATTGACTTGATCTATTTTTAATTTCAAGAGAGTGATTATTAATCACTGATTAATTGTCAGTTTATCACAAATTGTAAGTAAAAATTCGTTATTATTTTTAAATTAATTTTATAATTTAATTATTTTTTTTATTAATTAAAAGAAGAATTGATCTTTAATAGTTTAAATAATTAATTTCATAGCTATATATAGCATTGAAATAAAATTGTTATCTTGTGGTCATATTTTATGACAGAGAAGGAAATATGGGCCATATTATATGGCTTATAATGACGAGACCTAACCTTGACCTTTAAAAATCTATAATTCGTTGCGTCGAATGGCCTTACATTGACATAACTTAGCATTGCGCACTATGGACCACTGTCTCGGTGTTTGCCGCCGCGAATTGCTCCAACTTTGCGCAACGCCGCCGCCGCGCGCTCTCGTAGCGCAGTGCTCTTTTACTACTCTTTGGGCGCACTGAGAAAAAAACTCAACAGAAAAATTCAGGTCGCCAAAAAGAACCAGAAAGAGAACGATGAACTCGTCGCTTCAACTTTCGATGTGCTCGCTCGGGTGGTTTTTCTTTCTGCGCAGAGCAATGTCTGATTCCGGAAAGTTTGACCAGCTGGAGAAAAGGAAGAGAACCGAGACGATCAATTTGGCCGTTAGTGTTTTTCACTCGTTTTTCAGTGGACTGGGAGCGCTTTTTTCGATCTATAAAATGGTAAGTGGATTGATTATTTGAGAAAAGTTAGGGGAACTCAATGATTTCTAATGATTATTAAACAATTATTGCCGTATTAAGCCATGTTTTGTAAATAAAATGCATTTAAATTGAATAAATATAAGTCGCATATGCATTTAAAATCCATTAGATGCATATTGAAAGCCGATTATTCGCAATCACATGGCTGATTTTGAAGCTAAAAACACGCGCTTTTGACTTTGACGGGAATCCCCTGGGGCCAGAAACCCTATGGAAGGTTTAATTATTGAGCACAACGAGGAGGAGAAGATTCTCGTCAAGTCTCGGGTGCATAAGGTCGTTCGGGTTTGTTGGAAAACTCGAGTAAATAGCGACAGTGAGCCAAGGCTTCCATTTGGCATTTTATACGGGATATTAAGCGAATGGCAAACTGTTTTAACTTGAAGTTAAAATCTTTAATAGGTTTGAAATTAACCATGGATTTTAGCCGGAGCTCCTCGAAGATATGGTCTTTGCCCACAACAGTTTATCAGCTTCTGTGACTAGTTTTACTTTCGGCTATTTTATTTACGACTTCTTTGATTTATTGGCAGCCAGCCGGTGGTCGATCTCGAAGACCAATTTTGATATCATTCTTCATCATGTGCTCGTCATTTGCTGCTTCGGTTCCTGTGTCGGTAAGTTCAACTTCTTGATTGAGCGCCGCAATTCAACCAATTCAAGTGCAACAACGATACATGGGACTGTCTATGCTCTCCATCCTCATGGAAGTCAACTCGGTATTCCTTCATCTTCGAAAAATCTCCCGAAATTTCGACATAAAATCTGGCCTGATTTACTACTCAATCGTTGCCCTCAATTTCATCACGCTCCTGGCTTTCCGCGTTGCCGTAAGTTTAAATAAGTTCAAAACTGCTCGGCCTTGAGCCCAGATCAATATTTGCCGTCGTAAATATTATCGGGTCATTGTAAAACTGGAGATTTTAGGTCTCGTACAAAATGATCGTCTGGTTGTCTACAGTCGACAGAAGTGGAATTCCTAATGTTGTCTTCTACCTCGGTAAGTCATCATAAATAGACAGTCACTTCAATTTATTCAAAGGTGTTATTGCCATGCCTATAATTGCCGCCATGAACTGTGTGCTGTTCTACAGATGTCTTCGCGTAGACATCTTGCGACCCTTATCCCGACCGATCAAGAAAGAATAAAACTTACCGCATTCTCTATTTTTCTAACCCCACTGCCATCCTGCAATTCATACGTTACAGTCACCACTATTCTCAATTCAAAAATTTCTCACAGTACAAATCGACTTTCACAATAAATTTCATATTCGTGTAAATACCCTTCGCAAAAATTCTAAATTGAACCAATCTCTATTTTCGGAAATTGCTTCCTCAAAATAGGCGTAAATTTTCATTAATCGCAACTTCGGATCATTGCGAAAATCTTATAAAAACAAAGTTCCTTTTCTCAGACGCTTGCTGACGCTATAAGATATCACTTAATTTTCTAATCGAGAGGCAGGATGAAAATTTTAGCAACTTTAGGTACTGGTAAAAAAGTATCAAGCCGAAATTTTATCGGGGACAGAATGTTTACCAGGGTGAAGGCTCTTTCTTTGCCTCAACAAATGCATGGGAAAAAGGTTCCTGTTATAATACTGAGCCTGGGAGTTCTTCAATGATTTGCAAGAACTCGTGTCAGTTCGATTGGATCGGAAGAGGGGATAAGATTTTTTTCAAAGAGATGATAAATAGCGAGTACTACTTGAGCTCCCAGGTCGTGGCTAGAAAATGGAACTTACCGTATTTGAACAAGGAAGACGGATACGTTGGAATGCTCAGGTAAATGATATTCATCATTCGCTAGAATTAGATTATAGATTTGACCGAACTTACTGTAAGCGAGCGATTCTCCGATCCATCGGCCAAAATGATATCGCCGTAACAGTTGGCGACCGCACAAGAGAAAATTACCGCGTTGAAGCTCAGTACTTTGAGCGACCCGCTGATGGTTCGACAAAGAAAGAAGCTGCGGTTGTTCAATTCCGAAGATCTGGCTATGTTGAAGGCGAGTTTCTTTCGAGAGGAAAGGATCGCTTCTTCGTCTCGATGCATGGAATTGATGAGCATTCAAACCCAATCGAAGGTGTAACAAGCGAAGACATCCATCAGTAGGTTCAAAAAAAAAAATTCTCGGTAAATCGATTCAGTTAGATTTCGGTCTTTTTTATTTTCCAGCCAAATAATTTGTATTTTTGAACCTATTAAATTAATGTTTTCTCAATGTTGGCCTTTTGGCAATGGCTGAAGATTATCAAGACTTTATGAGCGTCGATTACACAAAAGCTTATCTCTATCAGTGAAGGTTCCTAAAAATTTTACTGGAATTATTTAATATGAAACAATCGTTTTAAATCAGTGCTATTAATAAGAAATTTAAAAAAAAAATTAATCATTTTTACACCTTTTAAACAGCGTTATGGACAAGCTCCTGACTGGGATGAAGGACCACTGCCAGTGAGTTGTAGTTAAAAGTATAAAAAGATAACATTTATCCCTAGATGGATACATATATCTTTGCGATGACGCATAATACATACCTGTCTTATGTTATATCTGGAGATGGAGCATCAAAAAGAAGCGCGCCAGTTCCGCCAAATGAGCATAACACTCTGATGGCTGCTGGTCACGCGGTTATACGAGGAGAATTATATTTTTTCGGGGGAAACTACGGTATCGGTGCCGGAGGTGTCAACCTTCTTGCGCCTCGCAGGGTAAGAATAAACATTTTTAATATCTCTCTAAAGCTTTAATTAAGATTGGAAAAATAGAAAACTGCGCATTTAAAGAATTACCACCAGTCCTTAATTTTGACTATGACGATGGGGCTTCTGTTATTTCTCTTGCAGATAACAGCGGAGGTTTATTTAATTTCTTTTTATGATAATGAATTATTATATTTTTAAGCTCTTATTTGCTTCGGAGGACGTTGGGGACCGATTCCTGAAGATTATAGCAGGTGCAACGTTTTCGATGTTGATGTAGGATCAGTCACAGAAACATACTCAACGACTCATGACCACAGATTTACATCACTAGGCTATTTCAGTGAACGGATATTATCTCATGGAAATCATTAAAAATACAATTGGACTTTTCTATATTCGCTAGTCGGGGTTAAAATGGAACTTTTATATATTAATTATATAATAAACAATTCAATATTCCAGCTAAAGAGGAACACCAACTGCAACCTGTGGATCCGGCCATAGAAGAGTCGAAACCTTAACTGTGAACGGTTGGACAGCGTTACCTGATCACCCTGAGTAAGTTAATAAAAAACCTTTTACCTTTTATAAACTTTTTGATTATAATATTAATCAATCAAGGCCACTGGCTTCTCACTGCTCGGTTGGACTCAGTAATGGATCCTTGTTGACAATATCAGGACATGCTCCCCATGTTTATACAAAAGCGATTTGGATGCTGTCTCCCGAATCTTACGAATGGTCACATATCGGAGATTTACTTCAAGTGAAAAATGATAAATAGTCTTCCTTGATTCATTTGTTTTTAGGCAGCTTCACAATCTTCAGTTATTTGGATCGGATCATCTCTCTACCATTTCGCCGGTCGAACCGAGGAAAATACCCGTCCTGTTCAGCGAATTGACTTTTCCTTCGATAAAATACTGAATACGACAAAAATTGATGTGCCAAAGGAGACTGGTATATCTTCTCGCCCAGCTGTTTTTCAGTCAACTGTAGATTTCTGCACAATATGAGAATAAAAAAGTTAAACATCGACTCTGAACGTAAAATGACCAATGTACGAAAATGCGTGTTTTTTATTCAATTTTCATCATTTGAATCGAGATTCGTGAGATCGGTATAAACAAGAAGTGAAAAGGTGGGACGAAATGTTTTTTGATTTTAGCAACCAGGGGTCCAAACAGCCTGGTTTACATTCTTGTCGAATCTTTTTGGTCGGAACATCTTGTTGCTTGGGCTATGGAGAAAAATTATGTTTTTTTTTTTGTTGATTCGTATTCTATCTTTACCTCGGGCAAACCATTCGGAAGGACGGCTCATAGATAAGACCTCCTTTGCTAGAAAATCGATAAAGATCGAGTTGAAATCAAGGAAGAGTACCTTTTGGCAGGCTTCTCCAAATTGCACTTTTTGGAGACAAAATTATTCGGCACTGGACCCGCTCTAGTGGGACACCTTTCTTCCTTGTCCCAGTTCCAGGACAAGTACTGTGCAGATTGCGAATCGTGAATAGCAGGCTTCATTGGCTCAACAGGTGTGGGTGGCACGGGACTCTGAAATTTCCGTCAATCTCTGAGGGGAAGCAATAAAATAAAGACGTACGGGTGATGGGGGAAGTGACGCATTTTTGTCGACGAGAAGATCCTTCATCGACATTTTTCTACCAGGAACTTCGATTTTGCCAATTGCTGGCTTTTTGAATCCAAGAGCAGTCGCGTTCTCGAAATGTTTGCTTGGAAGACCGGGTGCTAGAATCGAATGTTCGAATCAAAATTGCCCTTCTTCAAAAAGACTTACGCAGATTTTTAGTTTTTCGAATGTTGAGTTTTCCCATTTTCTTGTAGCTGCTAGTACTGATTTGATTGATCTGTGAGCCAAAATCTAAATGCATCGTTTCTACCGTGTTGCCAAAATCATCTACCTTTAGCGACATCTGGAGTATTTTTGACTGGGTTAATGTTGTTGAAGTTCATGTTCTCAAAGGGACGTAAGAAATTTCCTCGAACGAAAAGATACCTTGACGGGAGCTTTAACAGAAGAGAAGTTTCCACCATAAGCACTCCATGGTTTGATGCTCTCGTTTCTCTCGCCACAAGCACTGGCAGGTCGATCCATGGCTAGAGCACCGAAGGCACCTGCATGGCCATTGAATTGATTCGGCCTCATAAACTAGAAATTTGATGGTGAGTTCGATGAAGATTTGCTTTCTTTTTTACGTTGAAGGGTAAGTCGCCTTGTGGTTTTTCAATAACAACTCGTTCGGCTTGGATCTTCTGTGGTTTCGGCATGGTAAAATCGATAAAAGTTGGATCATTCTTCTGCATATCCGCGATTGTGGTGAGTTTTGGCTTGGCACCTGTGCCACTTGGGTCGTCCAGATCCGCCGGCTTGTCGTATTTGGTTCGAGCAACGTAGCCGCATCGTTGACGATCGGTAATTCTGCCTTGAAATTGACATATGGGCGGGCTTGAACGGCAGGCATTTACCTGTTGGGAGGCCGGAAAGTTTGCCCTGCCCAGATTTTGTGAATTTATTCATTCTTTCTTGTTTCAACTTGAAGAGTCTTTGATAGGTTGAGTTTTCTTCATATTTTTTTATAATTGGATATCTTCAAATTCCGTAAAACTAACTTTCATGCTCCCAATAATCAATTATTAGAGCCCAAGTTAAAAAATACAATCAAAATCAACCATTTCCTAGATCCTCGACCCTTCGAGTCAAGCGCCTGGCTCGGCCCAGTAGGAGTAGCTGATCTGATGATAGGTTCTTTCCATTCATAATCATCAATAGTTTCTCCTTCAGTTTCAAATTGCAATTCTTCCTCCGAATCGGAATAAAAGGCTTCAGAATCTTCTGCTTCTGATTGGCAAGTTCCATAGCCAGATTGACTGTACTTTTCGGAGCGCAGTCGGCCCTTGGCGAAGAGTTTCGCGGCCTTTTTAATGGGTCATTAAAAATCTTTACTCTCTATTTTTTGAAAATGTGTAATATATTCCGAGGTGTTAATCCTTTGACAAAATATATTGACTTGCTGATTGTCCGAAATGATCGTTTAGAGCGAAGTAATAGTAAAGTACCCATAACTTGTTCGACTCGGCGAGTAATGCGTCCATTCTCTTACTCTCGTGATCAGTCAGCTGTCAGTTTCGTGGCGCGCGAAAACTGCGCAGAGCTTTATTTTTCCACAAAAAGGACTGAACTACTTGTCGAGATTATCTCCTCAAGACTCCGCTACGGCCAATTGAACTTCAGAAAACGCGTCACCTATGACAAAGGTCAATTACTAGAATTTTATTTATGAAAAAAATTCAAGGCCAACTGATCTTGCGGCGAACTCGTCTGATCCAACGCCCATGTCCGGAATTTATCGGACTTTGGTGCGAATTAAGTCGATAATTAACGCTTTTGCTCTAATTTTGATTTTGCGAAAGCGGGAGTGGCCATGAGACAAGATCCTTGATGAGGTCCTTATGGGATTCATTTCTGCCGTTGGGTCGACTCTGGGCGAGGCGTCGCATCGATCGGGAAACACTTCCGCCCTTGAAAATTCACAAGCACCGGGAAATTGCCCACCCAACCCAGTCGAAATTGGCAAGTGACAGTTATTTCAGGTAATAGCACTTTAAACTGACAGATTGAAAATCTTTATTGAAAACTTTTTTAACCGTTGATTTCCCAAAGTTCCAGGACTAAGGGTCATCAAGGAAAGTGAACCGAGACAGTTATAAGTTATAACTTATAACTAATCATAAGTTAGGGTTAGGGTTAGGGTGAACGTTAGGGTCTATAATTTCAGTGTTTATAATTACAGTATTCTGAAAACTGTATTCTGAATACACCACTGAGGTATTCCGTGTTGAGCCAAAAATCAACTGAAAGCTTCAAAAAGTAATAGTTTGTTATACATTTCTAGCGTAGAAACACAAGAGTGCCTCGAATCAGCGTTTATATAAAACTCTGATTACTTCGGATTCCTTAAAATTTCAGCGAAAATGAAAAAAAATGATTAAATTTTTGTTAATCTGATCGTGATATAAAAAATGATAAACCCTAACCCTAATCCTAGCCATAAACCTAACCCTAACTTATAATAAGTTACAACTGTTTCTGTACACTGTACAGTTTCCTTGATAGCCTATGCTTAGGATGACCATTGCGAAATCAACCGTTGAATACAGTTTCCTCCAGTCAAAAGAAATGTACGAGGACGGAATTAGCATCACTTTCTTCAATCAACCTTTACAATTGTACTCTTATCATAGAAGTCTAATAAGTTGAATGTGATTGTTATGATTGGCTTGGTAGGATTCCCTGGATGATCCTTGTTTCCTCCCAGTTTTCGGTTTTGATCTCAACTGACGTTACAAGGGTGTCAAGTGGGCATCGATTGGCCGAGGAAGGTGGTGGCTGCTGATCTGGTGTAAAGAGAAGCGGCGGCGCCCTCGAGCACCAGGGAGTAGCCGAAGCGCCACCGCCCAGCACCTCAAATCTGAGCCGCCGACGATAATCCAAATCACTTCGAGCCGGAAATCCGACTTAGAAACACACTTTCAAGAGCAAACTATCCCTTTTACGAATCTTCAAGAATACCCTCCTAAAAAGACTTTAGAATAGTTTATTTAAAAAATACCATAAAAATAGACCTTCTATCAAATAGACTTATCAAATAGACACAAACAAAAAATACGCTACTTAGAATTTATCTTATAAAAATCGAATCAGGGACAAAAAAAAACTCAAAATCAACAAAGAGAAAAAATCAAATAGATAGAGAACTACCTGGAATCTGCGACATGAAGTAAGTACCATGGAGTTGAGCTCTAAGGGGAGATTGAGAATCTGAGCTACTGAAAAATGCACTGACTTTTTCAGTAGCTCATTCTTTGCGCGCCTAATTTGGGGGAGAAGCCGCGCGAAGTCTTGTCGGCTCTCTCATTGGCTCGGACTTTCCAGATTCTGTTCTTCTGAATCTCGAAAGTCTTCTAAGCTGCCAAGCGAGCGTTAAAGAGTTTTTCTAGACTTCCCCGACAGTGATTTGGGCGGGATACGGGGAAGGGGGCCAGGGGCTTTCTCCCAAAAGAGTTAAACTCCATGGTATCTTTATCTTTATTCTTATAAAAGTATTTCTTTCTCAAAAATAAAGTTGTTTTTTAAGAAAAATTAAGGCTAAAAATAAAATAAATATTTTCTAAATTTAAAGCAGATATTTCAGTCAAAATTTAACTTAACCCTAACCCTAACCCCGATTTTTCTTTCCCTAAAAAATTAATGCATAAAATAAATTTATTCTTTAAAATTCTATAATACAGAAGTTAAAGTTTGACTGTGTACTTACTGACTAACGCAAGTGGCCTGTTAAAACGGGCAATTACGGGAGCTATGTGTACATCATCCTCTCCAGGTGGGGCTCTAGTATTTTAACCCCCGACGAGGATGTATCTCGCAAAGGTGCGACCGACATTACCAGTTCTGCCTTAGCCGGTCCCGCGCCGCTAAAGTCGGACATGGGAGCGCGGCTGGACGGAATTTGTCGAGACCACCGTCACCGAGCTCTTGGGACAGCTGGTCGTTTTGACCGAGAAACGCATGTTGCCAAAACATCGCCGCGCCAAAGATGGGCGCGAAGACGAGCGGTACACAGCCTTCTTGAGGGTCCATCGCCCGACACGCTGATTTATCGAAAAATGTGCGGTTTTCCCGTAAAGTACATATTTGGCCAAATTTTCTTAACGGCACTTGTTTGGGATACAACCTCACGTGCGAAGGGAATTTTAATGATGAAATGGTTAGCTGGATTCGGCAACCTGAGTAGAAAACCTGAGTCAGGTTCTGGAAGAGCTAAAATGAAAAGCCGCGTAGCGGCTTTTGTAAAATCGAAGCCGCTACGCGGCTTTTCATTTTAGGTCTTCCAGAGCCTGACTCAGGTCTTCCACTCAGGCTGCCGAGCCCAGATGGTCAGGTCCTTTTTGATCACCCACTCTTTCATAGTCTTACTTGATAGGACTTACTTGAAAACGTGGAATAAGAATAATCAATGATTTCAAATTTACATTTTTACTTTTTGACCAACCCAACTTTGTGTCCGCCCCGCCGCGTAAATTCAGGAGTGGCGGCGGAAACCTCACGTGATTAGGGAAATTGAATGAATCTTTACTAAAGAGCAACATGAATAAGTGCACCTTTCAAGCTCGCGCGTGAAGGGGGACCCATCTGAAAAGGGCGCACACCAGCGGGTTAAGCTTCAACCACCACCAGCCCAAGCGACCACGAGAAAGGTGGGACCCGGACCAAAAAGAGAGGCCTAAGACCGCCCAGGTAAAGGTCGCCCCTTTGCGGCCAGGCCATTTCATCTTCGCCCTCTGAAACGTTTTCCAGAAGCTGATGTTTTCGGCTTATTTTATCCAATTTTAAGTAAATTCTGGGCGTGGGCCAGGGGCAGAAATAGGAAGAAGGGATGAGCCACCGGAGATTGAGGATTAGCGACTTTATATTGCAGTGATAAGAAAATAAGCATCCCCCGGGAGAAACTTTTGATAAGGCTCTTCTTTTGCTGGAAAGCTTATCTGACTATTTCTAGTTCAGAAAATTATTTTTTGTTTCAAAAATATTCTGAATTTGAGCCTCAAAATGACGTTTATTTAAAAAGAACAACGCACATTTACGTACGTAAAGCAGCTTGTAAAAAGTTTCTACAGTCCTTTCCCGTAATTGTCAATTGACGCAGCTTTGAAATGGCATTGTGCTATTTCGTGAAAACTTTCTTTCAAAGGAACCAAATTTACTTTCGGGCGTGGTCTCGCCACTACGTCCCAACTTTTTTTATTAGCGGAATTCGTTTTCATATTTTCAAAACTTACAAAAAATGACCGAGATACTATTTAGCCAGTACATTCCAGACTATCAGCTTCTTCTCGCCCTGGCGCACATAAGAAATCAGCAGATCGTGCAGACCTCTCTACTCAATCAGGCGATTTATCAGAATCAGCCACCTGCTGCGCCTCATGCGATCATGTAAGTTTCATTTGAGCCCCAAAACCCTTCAAAAAATACCTTGTTTTCATATCACTTTCTAGGCCTGCTCTTGCTGCAATTCCATCAGGAGTAACAACCGTCCTACCTCAGCCACTCCCTGTTTCTTTCCCAGTCACACCAACAAAAGCAGCTCAAAAGTCGAGAAAACAGTCGTACCGGATCGATGATCTTCTCGAATCCAGCCCCAAAAGAATCAAACTCGATCCACTCGCAACATCAACACCGATCAAGCGCTCTCCATCTCCTTCTACCGAAACTCGTGGACCTTCTATCGACAATTTGAAGACCGAAATTCAATCAAATGATTCCGGCTTTGGCTCACCATCGGAAAACACGCCTGAAGCACCGAAAGTTCGCCGAAGGGTAAGTCAAAAGAAAAGCAATTCTCTCGATTATCACATCTTCTAGAGCCATATTTGCGATCATCCAAACTGTGGAAAAGCGTACACGAAAAGTTCCCACCTGAAAGCCCACCGGAGAACTCATACAGGTAATCTTACAGTTCATGTTATATAAGAACTTTTATTGTAACAAAGTCATTTCACGCTTTTCTACGTTGCGCCCCTTGTGGTACTTAATAGCTTCCGGATTTTCTGACCACAACTCTGTAGAAGAAGTTCTCTAACGTGGAACCGGCCCAAATTTCGCCAACATTTCTTACATTTACCTTTTAGGAGAGAAGCCGTATTCGTGCACTTGGCCCGATTGCGAGTGGAAATTCGCAAGATCTGACGAGCTCACGAGACATTATCGAAAGCATACAGGCTACAAGCCGTTTGTCTGCAATGTCTGTCAAAGAGCCTTTAGTCGTTCAGGTAGGATTTTTCAGTCTTTAAAAGCTAGAATCAAATTCCAGATCACCTTTCTCTTCACGTGAAACGTCACCGATCCTGAGTTATACTCCCCAATACTACCGGTATATTTAGGCTTACCGGACTAAATTTCGACCCTTATTTCTAGCTTAGTGTGGTGGTCATATGACACAGTTTTAGAAAGCCCAGCTTCTGGGCTTTCATTTGAGCACAAATTCAAGGGGTCTGGGTCATGCCCGCAAGGCAATTCATGGGACCTGAAGTCCAAAAATAGGTACTAGAATCCTTCAAACTATTTTTTTCGATGCCCGTCCGGGCTCGAGAGTAGTCAAGAGTCATATATTTAGAAAGCTCAGGCTCTGAGCTTTCAGAAGAGCTCAAGAAATCTTAGCGCCAAACCGTTTGTGGCCACCTGGAGGCGCTAGAAGTTGGCGGTGAGAATCCGGAAATGCCGGGAAACTCGGTTTTTGAGTTCTTAACTCTATAATTATATGTATAAAACATATATAAACAATAATTAACGCATTAAAAAGTTGAACCGGGGTCAAACCGGGTGGTCAACCGGGTGGTTCATCGTGGGCCATATTTCCATATTTTTGAAGGTTTCTTGAGTTGAACCACCCGGTTCGACCGCGGTTCAATTTTTTAATGCGTTAATTATTGTTTATATATGTTTTATACATATAATTATAGAGTTAAGAACTCAAAAACCGAGTTTCCCGGCATTTCCGGATTCTCACCGCCAACTTCTAGCGCCTCCAGGTGGCCACAAACGGTTTGGCGCTAAGATTTCTTGAGCTCTTCTGAAAGCTCAGAGCCTGAGCTTTCTAAATATATGACTCTTGACTACTCTCGAGCCCGGACGGGCATCGAAAAAATAGTTTGAAGGATTCTAGTACCTATTTTTGGACTTCAGGTCCCATGAATTGCCTTGCGGGCATGACCCAGACCCCTTGAATTTGTGCCCAGATGAAAGCCCAGAAGCTGGGCTTTCTAAAACTGTGTCATATGACCACCACACTAAGCTAGAAATAAGGGTCGAAATTTAGTCCGGTAAGCCTAGGTATATTACTGTAACTGCCAATTCTCAAAATATGTTCAACTGTAAATAAAAATCATGAAAATCATTAAAACTGATGTTTTGATTCGTTGAAGGGTGAAATTAAATTGAAAAGAAGTCAGCGCAAATTATCTCTATCAAAATTTCTTCGCTTTTTTTTATTTTTCTTGGTCAAGTGTAAATAAACCGAGTGGGGCGCAATTTCGCGATTTTGGATTTTGACGCTGTCAAGTGGCCGCACTGGCGATTGGGAGTGCCTAATTCACACCCTTTCCCGGCCCGGCCCTTCTATAGTCTAAGAGCCCCTAGTTATCTTACAAAAACAGACCGACTTCGATAAAACTACGTGTTCTCTAGCTATAAATCTTCTACGCTAGACATTGGCATCAAGAATTTCAGACAAAAATGTCAATTTTTCTTATCACTAATTACAAATCTAATTACTAGTAGTAAATTACTGCCCCATATCAGCTCAGCTGTCTCCAACACCCCTCCAGCTGTGGATATCTCCCCAGTCGATCGAAATTTGCTCCTCCCCCAGTCGATCCACACCTGCTCAGCGCTAGAGCGCCCAAAGAGTATATAAGAATCTTCCATCAGAAATTTTTCATAACAAACATCATTCAAACAAACAAAAAAATAAAAAAAACTCTTATGCAACTTGAAAATATCATGAGTTCGACCGACAACTACGACAAAACCCTCGGTCTCATTTTTGTCCTCCTCGCCTTTATCGTCATCATGACAATCTTCGTCGCCGCTTTCTTTCTCTACGCAAGACTTTGCCTTGGCTTCGGCGTGGAAAGAGGCTACCCGATCAAAGACGACGACTTCTCCTTCTTCAAAGGCCGCGTTCCCACCTTCGCCGGCCCGAATCAAACATTTTCGAAGAGTTTCACCTACCACATCGCCTCTTCTCCGATTCCTCCCAGCCCCGCTCGAGTCAAGCTCCTGAATCTGCTCTCCGAAGCCCAACCAATTTCGACCCCGAAGCTCTGGCTCAACACAAGCAACAGAAACGACAACGCTTATGCTGTCAACATTCCAACCATCAACCCTAACGAGATCGTCCACGACATGGAATTCTTCGAAATCGATTCCGAAACTTCCAGCGTTTCTATGTCCAGCACTCAGTCCGGCGTCAACTGGTTCCACGCGATCAAGGACAAAATCAGCCAAAATCAACAGTACAAAAAATGCAGTGAAAGCGAAACTTCCGATAGCTACGACGAGATCGAAGAATACACCCCGCGCAAAACAACAAAAAGAAGAATCGAATATACGAAGACAATCGGGCGAATTCGCAGACAGCTGACGAAGGAATTTGACTTTACCATTTCTACCCTGTAAATAAGTTTAATGAAAATAAACAGGAAAAAAATCAATTATTTGGAAATGTATTTGGTGAACAGTTAGCAGTTGAAATCATGGAAGAGAACATATTTCGACGTCAATAAATTTGTTTTTATTTTCGAACTAAACCGATTTATGAAAGTGAATTTTCGGATTACCAATAAGATTGCTGTATTTGGCCTGCCAGCCAATCAAAACCCTGATCCATAAAATCACTTCATAAATTGGCTTCGCCCTAATTTTCAATAGTGTTAGACATTTTATCCTTAGTTTATCACTATTCATGCATAAATTGAGATATAATCATTAGAGCTCATCGTGGTGGGTTAGAATTCGTTTTCCCCATTCTGTCGCCTGAGAAGCAAAGAAATGCTTGAAGTTGTTTACAACTTCCTCTCTCGACAAACGAAGATCGTCGTCCTTGTCGGTTTGGTGCACTAAATTGCTGACTTCCATTTCGATGTGATTTCCATTTTCTGGGCTGATAAAACGAATAAGTTCATCTGCATCGAGGTGCCCATCCGCTGGATCTAATGAAAAACGTCGTTAATAATTGCCAACAGAAGCTGTTTAATAAATTACCAACGTCGAGGTTCTCCTTGAATTTACGCCGTTCATTATTAAGCCATTGTTCATTGACGGTTTTGGCATCTCCAATCACGTGCTAAACCAAGAGTTCATATGTGAACAGAAGAATGAAAAGTTTTTACCTTCAGAAACTCATCTTCGTCGACGAAGCTATCGTCATTTGTGTCCATAGCTTCGAGAGCTTCTATAGCGAGGCATCTTTGCATCCACTCGGCAGTGTGGGGATGGAGAAATGCGCCAAACTCTTCTCGATCCAGTTGACCATCCTATTCTTATTATAAAACTTTCGAACACGATAAACGGACCTGATTCTTGTCCGCTTCTAAAAATCTTCTAGTGTTTCGTTGATTATCCGCTCGTAACGATTCTTGCTCCTCTTCTGACAATTGTTTTAGTGTCTCTGGGTTATTGATAATTTCCATCATTCTGTCGTTGTACTCGTTGAAATCGAGAAATCCGTCATTGTTCACGTCAAAATGGGGGAGTTGTTGATGCACATCTTCGTCTACGCGAATCTGTTCTATCTGAGGATCGAAAAAACTGCAGTGAAAGATAGGTAAAGGAAATTTGGATCCTCTCCTAAATAATGTATCCATGTATGAAGCTCATTCGGTTCCAAATAATTATCGGCATCAGCATCCATGTCGTCGAAAATCCTCTCCATCATTCTCTTTTTATCTGCTTCTTTCAGCGAGTTGAGGAGTTTCAGCTCTTCTTTGCTGACCATTCCTTCCAAATGCTTGAAGTCATTTGTAAGTGCGACGTAGGGAAGAACAAGGAAGTTTCTCATAACAAAGATTAGTTCAACGAAAAAATATTCTCAGAGGGATGAATGCTCACTTATTCGGCATCGCATGGCCGCGGGGCGCTCTAGTTTGTTAAAGCAATTTTCAGTTTCAGATGAAAGTTATTTACCAGCCTCGATAATTTATCTGACAAAGTGCATTATTTATTTATTAATGAATCTGATCAATAAATAGTGGTAATAATTCGACAACAGTAAAAAGACTGAACTTCAGAAATAATTCAAGCGCAAGTTGGAAGAGTACTACTAGAAAATTCCATTCTCAAGGGCCAATAAAAGTAACCTGTTGGTTTCAAATTCAATAGAAGCGCTCGCATGCCCCAGGGAAAACTTTGCGTGCCCTGCAGCAGCGCGCGGTGCGCCGCCGGTCCTATCTCGCGGCTTTCTCTTCTCTCTTTTCTCTTGCTCGAAATTGACAGGTGCCTACATATGTGACCGTCTTCAAGACATTCTGTAGCACTCAATCAAGCAGAGAATTAAACACCGAAAAAGCAAAAAACAGATCTTCAACAAGATCATTCGTTTTTTAAAAGAGAATTGAAAAAATTCTGAAAACATTCTCCGCTTTTTCTACGACGTGAATGAGACAGAAAAGCCCCAAGAAGCGAAGAATTCTGGGGATAGTCCAGAAGATTGGCTGATGAAAGCCAGGGCAAGAAGCAACCCCGGATCAATTCGAAAAAACAGCAGAGGATCCAGAAGCTTAGGCGGTTCACCGTGGTCTGGGGAGACCAATCGCCAGTCTGTGGCAGGTCCAGTAGGGAGAGAACAACCCCTTGGTTCTATGAGCTCACCATGTTCTGTAAGGAAAGAGGTTTATCTGTCAATTCGCGAACTTGATAAATTGGTCATCATTATTTTCTCGACCCAAAAAGGCCTTTTTTCTTCCCCGCGATTGTCATAAATTTTAAATCGTATCCTTTCTCCACAGTACCTTTAAAAAACCTTCTTTGAATTTGGTACGTGACATAAATTTATAGTCAAAGAGCAGTGCTCAATAATGAACTTTCAGTGGCGCAAATAAATTACCGTCGAATAGAATAAAGATGTGTATTGAGCTACTGTCAAATTAAATTATCTGCAGGGCTGTCTCATGGAGTCCACTAATTCAATTAAAGATCCGGATCGATTTTCAATTCTTCTCCATTTCGAATGCGGATGCAAGGGAACAAGGATTAAGCACATCAGAAGTGGATTCTGTAATATCCGTTGAGACCAATGTTATAATAAACAAACAAATAAATATTCCAGGCAATAATCGTAATATGGAAAATATTTCGGTAAGCTCATTCCTGGTTAGTGTTAGGGGGGGGTTCAAAGGGGTCGAAGCCCCCTAGGTTAGGCCTTAGGGTTAGGTACTAAGTACTTTTACTTTAGGGGGGCCCCGGGTTAGGGTTAGGTTTTAGGGAGAAACTAAAAGTCTATTCCTACTGTACCGAAGTATTTATCCCTTCTACCGCAATTATGGGAAACAAGGACATTGATAAACCGATGAAAGAACTCCTGTATCAACACCAAAGCACTTTCACTCGCCACTTACAAGAAGCCTTCCAGGTTCGGTTCTCCATTGTATTTTTAGTAAGAAATAAACAAGTTATTGTTCAAGGGAGGGAAAACTCTGATTATTTATAAAATTTAATGACCAAAAACTAGGTCGACCTCCGGGAGACGGTAGAAGCATTAGGGTCTGATTTCATCAGTCCAAAATATTTTTCCAAGTAAATCAATATAATCAGATCAGTGTCACGGTAAAGAATACAAAAACATACGCACGGGCGCAATACAATATGCATATATCCATATTATATGACGTGAAAGGGAACCACAATAGCGACACCCGTAACACAGAAACAAGCGAGTTTCTCTTCTCAATCTCCTGTACGAACACCCAGCAGAGTTCCCAGAAATTCCTATCGAAGACAGTTTGAAACAATTCAAGAAACGATGGGCACTGGTTCAAGAGAAACTCATTTTCGCAAGACAATTTTATCCGCCTTTGATTGTTGTTTCAGTCAATATGGCTTAATTTAGAGAATATATGGTAATATGGGGCAATGTCATTATTTCACATGACATGAAAGATATTAAAAACTATTGACGATGCGAGATTCTGACGTGGATCAATATCATCGATCTATTAAGTGATTAGAGCCTCAGTTACAAGAAGACAGCTTTCCATCAGATTCCACTACAGATCTTAAATATCAGTGCTTTTTTGAAACCAGAGATCAGAAACTAGCGAAATGTCCAGATCATGCTCAAAAGTTCCACAGAAAAAGGTAAAGGGTCATCCATGATTTTGCAACTTTCCTCGTTGATATCAACTATTAAAGCAGCAAGTTATTTTGGAATGGAATGAACATACAATAACGTGTACAGACATGCAAGCTATTTTCACTGATAAGCAACTAATTTATCAAATTTTCATAGTCTCAAGTTGAGGCTCTGAGGTGATCTTTTATGCAAGAGTTCGGAAAAAGCCGACTTATTTGCCGTCAAATGCTCAATTTGCCGCCTAAAAAATAGAGATCAGCAGTGAGAAGACGGTTGATAACAGGGCTGTTTTTAGCACGTGATCAGAGTCAGTCACATGGATCTTCTGGATCAGAATGGAGAAGCCGATGAGGTAATAAAAGCAAGTAAATTATTCATAGCGCGACAGGTCGAATAATATTTTCCATTATACTTAATGACCGAGCATGATACGATATTCTCTTCTATGTCTTCATTTCATTTTCAGTTTATGTCACTGAAACTGGAACAATACGAGCCTTCGCCGTGGCGTCCGTCTTCAAGCATGTTTGATTTCGGCGCTTCGTTTCATTCAGGCCCGCCTTTATCCGAACAGATTGCGGGCATGGCGCGGTCGAGTTCTGCTCTCCGAATGTGTCAGATTAGAGTTCAACAAACAAGCTTCTTTACTTGTCTAGCAGCAAGGCCAATTTGAGAACTCTTTTGATAGTTGAGAGACGAGTACGGTTCACCCCGTCGTTTTAGATCACCTACGAGGACACCTCCCCCGGGTCAAAGGTAACGTTCTCTGTCCGACTAATTCGAAGAAACGCTATCTCGCGATCTATAGATTCAAATAGCTTTAATCCGGATCTTCAGCGGGGATCTTCTACTGAATATTAATTTCTCGCGCTCAATATGTTTATGAATACTTAGAATGATCAAATCAATGTCCACCCAATCTACACCCAGTCATCGGAGAAATTTTCATCATGAAGAGTGGCGGCCTCCCGTGATGGCTGAAATGGAAACGAGCAGTACTGTCAAAAGAAGTGCAACAATGACAGGTGATTTCACCCTTGAAAACGTCTTGAAAGTGTTTTAGCTATTCCACAAGCCCAGAGGCGGCATGATATTCTTGTTGGCTCAAAGACGCATGAGCTTTGGTCGCACCCGATGGGTTTGTGGTTTGAACTTTCCTTCTTTGTATACGCATACATATTTATACAACAATCATCGTTGAACCATCTTCAAACCCATTCAAGAATGTCTAAAGCTCACTGTCCGAGAACTCTCCCACATTCGCCAAGTCTTCTCAAGAGCTGAAATCGAAAAGTTTCACTCACAGGAACCGGTCTTTTTCAGCAATATATTGCATTGATTTTGGGATCAAAAAAGTAGACCGCGGAATCAGAATCAGACAAAACTCTACGAACTGCTTTCGAAGGAGCAAATCTGCCTAAACTGCAAAATCCAAAGGTTCAATTGGATGAGCTGGGCGTATCCCTGCGATATCTGTGCGGCTAAAGTCTGCAAAAAATGCCTCAGAAAAGTAGCATCCCCAGTGGATGAAGTGCAAGAGGCGGCTGCGTACATGCTTTATCCCTTGGACACTCCTGAAAATCAGGTAAATAATGAACATGCCAATGGGTATTCTCCAATAATAAACATTCTTTCAACAATTAATTCAGGTCAATTGGGACGAAGGTGGAAAGAAACTGTCAGTATGCGACAGTTGCGTCGAACTACTGTCGCACTTAGGTACAGCTAAATATAAGATTGTGAATATTAAATTAATCCTGTATTCAGTTGAAAACGCGAGGAAAGCGCTAGAAGCCCGAGGTCGCCAGTCAATGGTGTCGAGAAAAACGCTGTATCCTACGCATCAATAGCATTGTAATGGGCTGTACTTATCAAACCACATCGTTTCTTTTCAGATCTTTTACCTTAATAATTCAAGAGTTTTGTATCTATCCTTTCTAAATATAATGATATGACTATTCTTATTTTTTGTTTTATTCGATTTCAATAAAAAATTTACAGTTCTATTACGTCAATAAGGACAGTATCGAGCAGAGGATGAAGATGCAAGTGGTGGTAGAGGATTGTCTTCTTCAGTGGGAAGAAACGGGATTCCAGTGAATGGGAAGGACGAAAGATCTGGGTAGAATTGAGAAAAGGACTGGCATTCTGGGCTCGTTGATTGCGGAATCTGTTGAAAGCAGTTTTGATCCTGAAATGATCCGTTGGGCGAGTAGTAGCCTGATGATCCATAAGAGTAGCCGCTCTGGTCGAGAGAAGATGTTGGAGAGGAGTAAGAGTTTGGGTAGATTTGGTCGTAAGAAGATGGGACTTCTGGAGAAGCAAGAAGTTCGAGTAGATTTTCGATGTGCTCGATTGCTCCCTGGAGAGTGTCGCACTTGGACTTCTTCTTGCCTTTCCATTCGCCGTTTGGAATTACTTTGCGAAGAGCGTCGAAGGCCTCGTTCATTTCCTTTTGTCGGGCTCGTTCTTGGTCATTTCGACGGAGAATAGCTTCGGGAGAGCGGTACTGCTTTCGCTTGCCAGATTTGGTGACGAGGATTTTTCCAGTCATTGTTTTTCGTTGTTTTCTTGCTTGATAGATATTCAAGTTGAAATTGATAATGACTGAGATTCTTCAGAATCCGTATTTATACCCAACTTACTCAATAGCGCCTATGTGCACCTTGTTCAACAATCATGATGAAAGGCAATGGTGCACCTTAACAGCTGGTAGTCTGCGCGCGGATCATCAGAGAACTAATTAATGCACCTCATCATCAGCAGGTGAAAATGCAAGTGCACATAGATTGAATCATACTGATAAGATTTTTTATAACAAAAATATTATTTGGGTCTCAATTTCATCAAATGCGCTCATATATTCATTGTTATGTTGAGAGTATCAAGCGCGAAAATTGCTTTATTGGCAAAAAGATGAGTTACAGTCAATCGTAACTTGAGGAATCGGAGTCTTCGTCGGAATTGTAATCGTACGAGCTTGTTTCGCTTTCAGAGCTTTTATTGCGTGGTCATAATACAAAAGTCGTATAATGCGTGAATTTTATAATCACTAGTTCCTACTAAATTCACTAAAATGCTGAAGCTCATTCCTGTAATCATGGTCTCCTGAAGCCTCAGAATTCGACTCTGAGTCTTCATCTTGGCTCTCCTCATCAGGGGCAATGTAAACTTCGCCAGAAACATGAATTGATTCCCGGGAAGGAGTATCATGAGAAAGGTCGATCGGTTGAAAGTGAAAGTTGAGAGGTAGTTCGGCAAGAGTATTTCCATGATCAGATCTTTAATATTTTTAGTGCACTATCCGCGCTAAGATAAAATTACTCTTCTGATGAGGACTCTTCGTCGTCTACGTCAATTGGATGTGCTGGTTCTAAAAAGGCCTGTTTGATAAAGAAATCAAGGAAGAATACCTGTCTCTGAGCATTGCCATTCAATGAAGAAACCGTAACCAGTCTCAGAACAGTCGGTGTAAAATCTTAATCGACTAGATAACTGACTCTTTTGGGTTTAAATTACGTGATATCAAAAGAGCTTCCAAAATGAAAGGTCCAGTCTTCGTAGATATTTGCTGAAGTTCCACAGAGTTTTCCGCTCGTATATTCGCCGTAGTTGATGATCAAATAATCAGCGAAGCAATCTGAAGTCTCCTCCATTGACTTTTTCGGGGTTGAAAGTTTTAGTCTCCTGCATAGAAATGGAAAAAGTATTGATAACCCGTCCCAATCGTCGTATTCTCCAAACAAGTGCCGCACAAGGAGTAGACATCGTGACTTTTCTATTTTCATTGTTTCGATAGGGATGCATGGATTGAATGGAGCCTTCATTTTGACTTCCCATGATGGACTCGACGATCCTTTTTGGCCAAAAGTAGTGAGAAAAGTCAATGTCTCGTTGTTCCTTTTGATTTTTTTTTAACGAGTAATAAAACTCCTCAAACCTGGTATGGAGGCTCTGGTTCTTGTTTCTTTTTGCAGGAGTTTGCAGCCGGTACTAATAATGACAATGTAGGAAAGGAATAGAATATCTTGGATACCTAAATTCTCCATAGCAGCGGCAAAAACCATGAAGTCGTTCATTATTTTACCAGACTGAATGAGCGCCGTTTCCGTCATATTCGTAAGTCGTTCCAAGTGCGCAAGTTGGATGTATAACAGCGCTTCGACATGAGAAAGAGAGTTCTCATTTTGAACAGCGTTCTTGGATGACTTATCATTAGTTTTTGACTGCTATTTGCTTGATTTCTTAGTGCTCCTTTTAAAAAAACTCTTCCCTGTAAATCAGCAATAGTAAGTTTTAACGTGTCATGTAGAAGTTGTTGCTTTAGATGGCCTGCCTCGAGAGCAGCAACTCTTGCCTAGTTTCATATAAAACTAAGAAGAAAATTGTAGAAGAATACCTCAATATTATCTTCTGCTCGTAGAAAAACCGCTAGACTGTAAAAGACAAGCGCTCCTCTTATAAACATTTTAGTTCTTTCTCTCTTTTTCAAAAAGTGAGCATTTTACTGGCAATAATAGTGGAAAATGAGAAAAGGCGGTTTATCTTTTGCTGCGTCGACAGGAAATCCGAGGAAAAACAGAAAGCGGCGGGGCGCTACCTTTCTCCGTCGGCTGGCGGTCAAGGTGTTCAGAAAAGAGAATTCGGCCGAAGTTGAAAAATTTTGGAAGAGACTTGATTGATTTTTTTTTTTGACTTATTTTATAAGCAGTGGTACATTTGAGGTACAGATTGAAAAGATGGTTAATATTTATTCGCTTGGAAGTGGAGCAGTGTATGGCTTTGAAACTGCAGTGCTCTAAAAACACAAACATAGATCACAACCCTATTAACCCTTTTCATACCGAAAGATACTGAGAAATAACGCGGGCGGATTCTTCCATTCCAATGTCAAGAGTAATAGCAGGTAGTGGACCAGATCGTTGAGTCTTCAGTGCCATTTGATGAAGCTTTGTTTTAGCATCCATATCATCACTACAACAATGATTGAGTGTATATAATCAGCAATATTCTACCTGATGGCAACAGGAATAATCTCGTATCCAAGTTCTTTGCCTTGAATTCCCAACCCCTTGTAGAACTCTGCTGAATCTTCAGCGTCGTGCACTTGAAATAGATATAAAAGAAGGTCGATGACAATTAAAATTACCAAAGACAATAACTTTTCGGGTGCTGAAGTTCCATCTGTGAAGCCTTCTCCAGACTTGTCCTTTTCGCTCATTCTTCCAGGAGTCAAGCATAGCCTTGGAGTGAAGGAACATCTAAAATCAATTCGGAAACGTAAATATCATGAATACAGACATGAGTAGCCTGGTTTTCTTCGGTTTCATTATCGTGCTCACCACCATGTTCGGCGACATGCTCATGCTTCTGTTCGACGGGTCGAAGAACCCAGTTTTCATCCTTAATTTTTTACAATTCTACTTTCAGAATTTACACTAACAAAGCTTGAAAGAAGATCGTTTGCAATAAAGTCGGGGTCTGAATCAGCTTCCATGCAACTCTTTCTTGTTCCGAGGAAAGTATTGTAGTCGCTGCCGCGAACAAGAATATTGACATGATCGCTATCGTGCTCAAAGATACCAATTCTCAGCTCATCTAAACAGCCACCAATTTTGTAGTCCTGATTCAATCGGCTGACGATATCTTTGACAAAGTCACGGAGTTGAGTAGACTTGGATTCGTCAAGAGATGCGATGTCGACGGCAATAACTAGATCAGGAGTTTCTGGAAGATTTTGCTTGGGACTCGGTCTGGGTCCCTTTTTGTCGTCATCATTTGCTTCTTTCTTCGAAGGAAGAGCAGTATCAACGGATGTTTCAGGCTCTTCGGCAACGCTTGGAGCAGAAACGAGATCTTCCTCCGTGGCAGGCTCTTCTACGGGAGCGGAGTTGTCGACCACTTGAGACTCTCCAGCATCACCATCAACAGCTGCAGCTACATCAACAGGAGCATTGTCTTCTTCCTCGGTAACGGAAGCAGGCTCTGGATTCCTGACAACCGTTGGGTCGATAACTACTGGTTGAGGTTCCACTGGTGCTGGCGCTGGTTCAGATGGGGCTCCTGATTCTTCGTCAAGTACCGGCTCTTCTGTAACGACTAATGGAACTGGAACAGCAGTTGTTTCTTTTTATTTGGTTCGATATATTGTTCTCTTGTTCTATAGAACTGAAAACGCGAGGCTTTACAAACTTAGAACGGTTCCTTGTTGAGAGAGATCGCTTGAGTACTCGTCGTTGTAATCTTCAAGTGGATAAGTATCTTTTGTAAGTTTGGGAAATATCAGTTCTGCGAATTAATCTTGATTATTGCGAAGCGCATACATTAAGAGCGTTTACTTTAATTGCGTTAATCTGTGAAGCCCAAACTGCACTGGGTTCTGTCACAGCAGCAGTGCCAGAATCAACAAGGTTTTCATAATTTGCGGACTCGTAATATTGCGATTTTTCGGGGAAATCATTGCCTAGAGAAGCATGCATTTAACGAAGCTGATACAAAGAAGACAAGCATATCAAGCTGATATAACTCGAGCGGAGTTTTTCAAAAAGCAAAAGTGCGAGGCGCTAGAAACCTGAAGAGTCTGATGAGAGAGTAATGTCGCCCTGTTGAAGGGGCGGCTGGTTCTCATGAATGTTCGCTGGTCTTGTAGGTTCTTCTCCTGAAGAAGAATAAGCAGGATCAAAAGGATCTGCTCCTTGAGTGAGAGCCACAAGAAGGCATGGCAACAGCTTCATCTCTACTAAATGGTCGAACTTCTCTTTTAAAGAAAAAAGGAGCACAAAGCACTCGGCCTCGTCCAGCCCGCGACGTTCCCCGCGGTGATCAGTTTTATTTGACTTTCAACCCGTTTTGATGAACGAGCTGTTTATTTGACTTGCTCTCTTGTATTCTTACTTAGAGTTTGTTGAACTCTTTTGAAAGAATTCGTCTATCTGCATCACAAAATGGCTGCATGAATCGAGACTTCTTGCATAAATCCCGCGCAAAGTCTCGATTCCTCCGAAAAATGCTGATTCTAGCAAGTTTAGGTATCTTTATTGCACAGGCGTTAATATACAGAATAACAGACAGACTACACTGAAGTTTGAAGTTTTCATTGAGAAGCTTGTGAGATTCTTGACAAGATAATCTCGGGCTCATAACACAGCGGTGAGCTGAGCTGGTAACACTTTTCGATTGTGATATAATTTCTGACGAGGCGGAAGAGGTTCCAGTAGCCGCAGAATTGTTCGCAGCAAATGGCGATGAGTCGATCGTACTGAGCATCGTGCATAAGCGCCAACTGGAAAGACAGAATTGTCACTTGGAAGCAAATCTAAATGAAGTTTTACTGAAGGCAAAGACATATTCTGACAAACCATGAAGATGTATAAAAATAGACTCGGGCCAAAAATCTTGTAAAACGAGTTTTCTCTTCTGTGACCGGGGCGAGCAGCATTGACGAATTTGCCGATGGCTTTCCAGCGCTGATTGTTCCACCTGACGATAGTTCCTTTTGGATATCGCTCGCCATCCTTCCATTCTGGATCTTCTGCTTCAGATGCATTCGCTGGTCCGTCGACTTTCTTCCACTGGCCGAGCTGGCAGGTGATTTTGTAAGCAGAGTGAAGGTAGATTGGAGAGATCGTATGAGAAAGTTGGAAGATGAGCATGTTCATTATTATCATTACTGCATGCACTGTAGGCCAGGCAGCATCCGCAGCGAGATTCGACGGGCAAAAGAGATAAGAGATGTAGCAGATGTAGTAAGCACCTTCGAGTGCTTTCCTTGGGATTTATAACTCGATCCATTGATATAATTTAATTTATTTATCACAAAAGATAAATCCCGTAGCTGATGGAATAGCGCACATAAGACGGACTCCAAAGTCATCGAGAAAGCTGTGGACCTCTAATCTGGTCTTTTTGACGTCCCCGCTCTCGCCGAAATGATTGATGATTTCTTGTGAAAGAAAGAAGTTTCTAGCTTCAGAATATAGATCGAAATAGGACATAGATACACTGGGGCCATATCTTTTTCGACATTTGGAAGCTAAGAACATCATGTGATAAAGCTAAGAAAGAAGTTAGAAATTGAAAATATGTCGTGTTCATACCCCAATAACAGTTTTGATAAAAATCGGTAGAGCAAGAAGAATAACTGCCATATAATTTCCAATACTCAGGTAATGACAGATAATCGTCAGTAGAGCTTGAAAATTGGTTTATTCTCCGTCGTTAGTAATACTACTTACAGATGAACCATATCTGCATACATGAACCCATGAAGAATATCGTCAAATATTCGGTGATATTACTTCGACTAGCGATTGACCTCACTGAGAATATTTCACCTTCAAGGCGGCTCCAAGCTGATGTGAACTTGTCAAGACAAATTGGCTACAAAAATTAACAATTGCTAAAAATAATTGTTTTACCAGTGCATATTGAAAAATGGCGAGCAGAATGAAAATGAATATCCGAGTGTCGATCATGTCTGTATTCATGGCGGAGGACTGACTGTATACTCCAACGGGCCACCACCAGTAGCGCTGAATTATTATGTTGTATCGATACTGATTTCACACTTTGACCTTACTTTATATAAATAAATATGCTGCCCACAAAGAGCATCAAACAAGTAAAACATGATAAAGCAAGTATGAAACGCATCTGACCAAGGTTGAATCGCATCGCATGGAATTTGCGGGATAGTGATCTGCGCTAGAATTTTATTCGCACTCGTCGAGTCTGCTTTTTTGACGAACGCTTTATCAACGTCGTTTGAGCTGTTTTTGCTCTTTACTGGTTCTTTCTTTGACTTTTCCGATTTCGCTTTTTTAGGCATTTTGTTTTTATTTTCTGAAGTAAGCAGGATTTAGGACCAAGAGCAGTTATTCCAGCGATTGGAATGGCAACGGAATGGCACTGAACTTGAGCACATATGAACTTAAAACTTGAAAGACAGAGGTTAACGATGCAAAAAATAAACTGAGAAAATAGAGAGAGGAATTTTAAGAGGCCATGGGTTGGTTATCGGAAGATTCTTCTTCAAAGTCGTCGACGTATTCCATGAATTCGACGATTCCGTCGATGAGCTTCGTGATCGGGGTTTTTGGTGTTCGATCTCGATCTCTTCTATGTCATCGCCAGCATCATCTGCATTTTCGTTTCTGCGAGCCATGATATCATCAATGGTATAGAACTAAAACAATCATAAATAAACGACTGATGATTATAGCGGTCTATTTACCCGAATGCGTTCGAAGAGTTCCTTCAAACTGACGCTTCTGAAGGTGTTTTCGTTGGCTCTATTCATGGAAGAGAGATTGACGGATTCGGGGTTGAAATCTCGCAGCATTTGGAAAAAGTCCCTCGCCTCCATATCCGGATGAAGCAGAAAGAAACGCTTGCAAATCTCCAAATCGAGCTTTTTCTGGAGCTCGAGGGTGCACTTCGTGTGTCGTTCAAATTCACTCTCGCTCATGTGGACGGCGCAGTGTTCGCACTGCTTTTCGGGGAGGCAATTCTTTTTGTGTTCGTTGAACTGGGCATATGGTATTGTCAAGTGGCAATGGTTGCAGACGAGCTGGAACTTCTCGAGGAACATCGACATGGTTCGCCCTTTTCGGCCGGTGAATTGGGACTTCCGGCAAAGAGGACATTCGTCGGAGCGTCCTTGCGTCTCCATGAAGCAACTCTGGCACATGTGTCCTTGGCAGCATTGAACTTCGAAGGGTGCCTAACAAGAGAGAATCATGGAAACAAGGAAGAGAACGACTGGACTTACATCAAGTATCTCTTTGCAAATCGGGCAACTAACTTCATCTTTGAACATCAAATATTGGGGCGCGAGCGTGGCATCTAATCCCATCCAGATTATTACAGTAATATCTAAAGCGTTAAAGAATTAGAAAAGTCGATCAGTAAATATTATTTATCGGTTGAAGTTGAAAGGCACTTTAGTGAAATAGTTCTTTTTGTGAAATTGCACTGAATACAGAAATACAGAAATAGTAGTGTAGAAAAGTGGATAAGAAGGACTGAATCAATCACAGTGTTTGAAAGGAAAAAGCGGTTAATTGTAAAATCGTAAATTGTACATAAATATATATCCTAAATCTATCGATCGTTCCCCAGATCGATATGTTTTTACAATTCTTACATAAAAAGACAACATGAAATTATTCTAAAATCGCTACAGCTCGTCTTTAGGATCGGGTTTAGGAGGGAGTTTTGGAGCTCTCGCTAGAACGCGGTCTAACTGATCCTGGACGTCTTTGATGTCGAACTCGGTCTGGATGATACTTCGCTGGCCTCCGCCGTGTGGGAAGAACATCAATGTTGGATACTCCGCGAGATTGAGTCCGCGGCAGAGATGCGCTGAGCTCGCACAGTCCACTTTCGCGAATAAAACGGTCTCCTTGTACTAAAAAATCGGATAGATACGCGTTTCAGTTAGTCCTTTACCTTTATGGAAGCAAGCTGATAGTAAGGCTCAAACTGTTTACAAGGCCTGCACCAATTGGCATAAAAATCGATCAAAACATGTCTTCCATCTTGGTGAACTCTCTGAATGTAGTTGAAGATATTCTTCTGAGGCGAGGCATTTGCGATTGGTGAGAAGCGATTGAGCTCGGACGATAAGAAGTGAATAAATGCGAATTCATCTCTTTGCTGATATGGGAACGTTTGCGGTGTGTTGACGGGAGAGCCCTGCTTTCGTGGAGCAAGGTATTTCAGCGTTGGATATGATCGAATCCCGAGACTATCATTGTGTTTTATATGATTGAAGATATATAAAAAGGTACCTTTCGCAGAGCTCCTGGTTTTCCGGACATTCAACGTGGCCAAATTTAACCGTTCCTTGAAGCTGCTTGGCAGCACTTTTGAACTCAGGGAACATTCGATTACAGGGTCGACACCAGCTCGCAGCAAAGTCAATGAACCAAATTTCCTCGTGGGGGCGGTGCATGATTTCTTGAAACAAATAATTGATAGGAGACATTTATGTCGATTACCTTCTCGCCAAATTTTCGCATCGAGTTTTCGGACACTGGGGTTTTTGATATCCTCGTAAAATTCAACAAGCGCTTGCCAGTCGTAGTCGCCGCTGTATGTCTCTTTCACTTGCTTTCCAGCCTTGTCTGTTCCGTAAAATTGAAGAGTTGGATAGCTTCTGATTCCGTACTTGTTGCAGATTCCTAATTAAAATGAGTTAAAAAGGTATTCTCGAAAGAAGTGACGCTCTACCTGGATAGGTCTCGCAATCTATGTAGGCAATTTTAACGTTCTTCTGTGCCAGAATCGTTGAAGCGTGACGGACGTGGGGTAAAAAGTTATTACACGGAGGGCACCAAGGCGCTGAGAAATCAAGAATCCATTCCGAGCCATCGGAGAGCAGCTCATCGAGCGATGAAAGGGACGGAGTGTGCATTCTAGTCTTGAGCACTTCTTTGGCGAATTCGCCGATGTTCATCAGGTTCCAGTCGTCGTGGAAGACTTCAAACGCGCCTTTTCCATGTCCTGATCATTGGAATAAAAAAACATCATAATTTATACTGTCAGCGTCACGTACGGACTTTATTTGACTGATAAGAATCCGAGGTTAATCAAACTGATTCCATTTTGCCATTTCTGATTGGCTTTATGTATGAACCTTAACCCACAAAAAATCTCTTTTGCGTAGGCAAGGTATTAGTTTCTGCGATATTTTGTGTAGTAAAAGTGGACAGCAATAATTATTGTCACAACTTTATGAAATTCCATTCCTGAGAAGATCAGCAAATTGGTCTTACTCCCAAAGATCTTGGAGCACGATGCTCTCATAAGTCCATCAGTACAGTCGACGATAGCGAACGGGTCGGCCTTTCGGAAAATGTTCGAGTTCTTCACGAAATAGTTGGGCAGTCGTTTGAGGACAAGTTTTTGCTCTTCAGAGAATGTTCCAAAGTCAAGAGCGATGATTTTCTTTTCGTTGTGAATGTTGTCGAGGATTTTTGGGTCTTTCTCAGGTTTGACATGCTCTAGCAGCTAGAGTCTAGCTAAATGATGTTAAATTTAAAGATCTTTCGAAACCGGTTCCTAAAATCTCGGGCACTTGAATCAAACTAAGAGTTTTTAAAATAACTTCTTTCGCGATAAATCCATCAAGCTCAACTCCTTTCTCCGCCGAATCAACAGGACTGACGCCAGCTGGGAAAACGAACATGCTCTCTTCCGTCGACGATTTCCTCTTGCAGAGTTCTGGCAAAACATCTTTCGTGCAGTCGATTTTGAGAGCATAAGCATCCTGACCAAAACCGACGGAAAGTTGGTACTCGAATGGGATCTTCGGGTAATTAAATTCGCCATCAGCGTCGGACAAGATATAAACACAAGGTTTCTTGATGAAGTTGGGCAAAGAAACGATTCCATTCAGCGCTCGGACTCGATGGGAAACGCTTTTGACGCCAAAATCCACGAAATTCTCGACGGTCTTTGGGAGCGTGAACTTCTTTCCTCTTCTGACGAATTTTCCTCCGTGATAAATTTGGTATCGCTGCGCCCCTTGCTCAAAGACCATTACTGTTGGGTAGCCGGTGATGCCGATGTTCATGCAGGTTCTTCGATAATCTCGACAGCTGATTGCTCCAAGCTTGACGATTCCTTCCAGTTGAATCGCTGCTTCTCTCCAGGCGGGGGCCATGTCGTGACAATGAGAACATCGCTCCGAATAAAACTTGATCATCCAGACATCATCTGACGCCATCGCTGCCTGCAGCTCGACAGCATCAAACACATGTACTTCCTGGTCGTCATCGTAGAGTCCGAATTCTTCTTGGAAAAAGCTCCAGGATTCATAGCGATTTCCGCCGAATCCTTCTTCCAAACCTTTTTCGCCCCAACGATCGTACTTCTTTCTCGTTTCATCGTCTTTTAGAACCTAAAAGCAAAGTTTCGTGAAGTTTCAAATAAGCATCGCAGGGGGAGGTTCAAATAATTCTTATGATTCGGGTTTCTAGAGATTTCCTCGAAACACACCTTTCGTATCAATTCTCCTGACTATAATTAATTAATTATTATTGTCTGTAGTACAGACTCTGTACCTCGTAAATTTTATTCAGTTCCATGAATTTTTCATGCGCGTCCGGGTCGTCTGACTTGTCCGGGTGCATCGTAAGTGCCAGCTTCTTGAATGCCTTTCTGATCTCCTTGCTAGTCGCCGATTTATCCACGCCCAGTTTTTCATAATATTCAGAGTTGTTGACAGCACTCGTAAGCGCAACCAAGCCGAACAAAAACAGCAAGTTCTTCATTTTCTTTAGTAACGATTTCGAAATCCACACAGGCTCTCTGAAACACAAAATGTTACGCTTTTGTAGTCAAATTTCTGTAGCAAAAAAGCCAGAATAATCTCTATGAGTTGGCTCCAGGGCCACATTTTAGGCGTTAATTGATAGAAAAAAACCGAGAAATCTCAGTTTGCAAATTCGAATTGAAAAACCTAACGTTCCATCTACCGGTATTCGGTGCCACCGAATCGGTGGAGGGTAACTCGTAAGAATACGTGGCCTAATTTTAGAATCAAAAGAGGTACATTTTCGCCTTTCTCAAATTTCATAAAGGAAAGAACTGTTTTTTTTTTATTTTTAAAATAACTCTATAATTTTATTTATAATTTTTAAATCAGAAAAGATTAATTTTAAGTATTTTTTCTGAAACTTAGTATTTTGAAGTGAAAAGAGCGCTTTGAAGTATTCTAGCGTCGCGAAAGAGTCTCTCGTAAGCATGGCAGTCAAAGCTTTCCAGTTGAATAGAGAAAGTCGACTGGCGTGATTGGCTTGCGCGGGGGAGGGCGAAGCTCAACGCAAAAAGAGATGATCCGGACCCAGACAAGAGCATGTTCGCTTCTACATGAAGTTTTTTCAGAAAGAAACAATTAAAGAAGATATGATGGAATGAAATAGTTGGGACTTCAAGAGCCGAAAAGAAGCGTTGTCAATTCAAGAATTCATGATGATTATGAAGGTTTCCGTATTCAATTTGAACATCTATTCTGAGCGAAAATCCAAGATGAAAATCCCTGAAAGAAACGGCTTCAAAGAGCGCTAATCAGAGGACCAAACGGGGAATGAAGAACGTCCTCTTCTGCGCGCGTTTTTCTCGGTCCTCTACTTGGCCCATGCATAATGCATTCCCTCAGCTTTCTACGCCAATCGCCGCTAGTAGCTACGACCAATCCCTTTTTTTCTGAAACGCCAATACATGTATCTATCTCTTTCTGATCTTCCTTCCAACTCTCTTGTTTATTTACTATTTACAGAAGAGAAATCTGCTGATAATTTCAAAACTGTAATCGATTTCGTTAAGACAAACATGGCCTTGCCTGGAGTGGGCGTTTTTCCAGGCGAAAACCCGGAGTTTATTGTTCAGCACTTGAGAAAAGCAGGATTCCCAGTGAAGGCGGTATGGGCCCAGGTAAGTCCTCTTCAAAAAATCTCTCCTGAAATTTACGAAAATCGTCACGAAATTTCTTGACAGCAATTTGGCTGGGTCAGGTCTTAGCTCATCCGAGATCTTGATATTTTGGGAATCAATAATCCCTGGGAGTTATGTAAATTGAAATTTCCTTCCAGAAGACCCTTCCTGTTCAAAAATCGAAATTGACCTTTACCGACTCTTAGACGGAGAAACAAGCCATCGAAGTCAAAAAGAAGCTCAATCTCCCATACGTGACGACATCCATTCGGTATGTCAATGATTGAATTCATCGGTTTTCATGCGAATTTTCAGCGAGCTCGTCTTGCACACCGAAGTCGATTTGGTGATTATCGATTCTCCACCGCCGACTCATCAGCAGATTTGCGCGAATGCGCTCGGTGGGTAGTGATCTCCGCCCGAAGAGACCCTTTTCATCATTTCAGGCATCGGCAAGCATGTCCTGTGCACACTTCCCGGCGGTTTGAACATGCGCGACACTCGAAAAATGTTCGACGCGGCTTCTTACTATCCCCAGCTGCTCGCCGCCGCGCTGAATCCAGTCCGCTTCATTGAGCAAATCGTCAAGTTGAGGAATTTCATCAAATCGTCGGCCGGACAAGTCTACATGGTCGAGGCAAAGATGAAGTCAAAGGTACTTGAGCCGCTCGTTTGTTTATTTGAACTCTTTATCTTCAAATAGGCGCAGAGCAAAGAACACTGGAAGACGGATCATCGAATGGCCATGTTGGGTTGGAAAATTACCAAGAATCGAGAACAGTCGCTTTTTACACATTCTGAAGGAACAATTTTCCTATTAGAAATTGAAATAGTTCTGTCAGGGAGACAGGAGTGTCTTGCGCAAAGATTACAAAGATCAGATAAACACGAGTTGTTTTGATGCTTCCTTGCTCTCTATCGTGATTCTTGTTGATTCGGAATGTCGTAGATACTCGCCCGGTATATTTTGCAACCCAAGCGTCAAGGAGGCGGTGCTCTATCGTTGCTCGGAGGCTGTCTGATAGATATTGTATCCCACGTCATTGACGAATGTGCTACTCGAGCGATTGGGACGACGTCAAGGAGCCCGGCGAGGCCTTCTTGTGACTCATTCGCCACTTTTCAACTAACATTTCCCTCGGGTTTGATTTCAAATCAAGAGAGACCACCGCGCTAATTTGATCATTTTTAGGCACTCTCTGCTCTGGTACGATTGCGTTTTCGGAGATCTTCGAATTTGAGCTCGTCATAACTTGCTCACAGGGCGTATTTAGGAATGGGATTAGATTTGGCTTGTTGCTAATATTGCAATATATGTACGAAAATAGCTCAATAGAAGAAAGTGTGCACATGAATCCCGGTTCACAGACTAGATTCAAGCCTGAACATCACCTCAACTCCTGGCTATCTGTTGGAAAGCATGCATCCTCGAACAGAAAGTGTTATCGAGATCAGACCCGCCTCCCAAATGTGTGACGAATCAGCTGAAGATCATGCTGATCACACAAACGAGTCTGAGAATGCTGACTCGGTATCGCCCGAGAAGGACGTGAAGAATAATAAGACGGAAGAGACCAGCGGCGAGGCAGACGAGGAGGTGAAGAAAACCTTTGCTGAGAGCGGCGCGCAGACGATAGCGATTGAAACCCAAGATGCCGCCGCTGAAACGAGCAATGGGAATATTCAGCTTTTGTCTGATAGAGAGTCACTCGTCAAAATGGGCCTTCCCAAGTTGCTCGAGGCGGTGAAGGAAAGGGATGAAGGAATTTTAGTTAATGCTTCAGAGAAAGAAATCCTCAGATATTTATCATCTCCTCGAAAGGACTCATTCTTAACTGGCGGAATGGATTCGCGATCCTGGAATGAGACGTAAGTTGAGGAAACCTTCAGTGGAATGTGTGCTATAAAAAATCCTTCAGAGCGATCAACGACTCGCCCATTGGCAAGTTCTCTGATATTCTATACGTTCAAGGAGTGCTCGATGCTCTCCGACGTTCGGATAAATCCGGCGAGGTCGAAGGCGTTGAAATGGGCGACGAACTCAAACTCGAGCAGCTTCACTTCCAGGCCGAATTCGGAACCTACGTCGAGACCGTCGACCATCTTCAGATCTGAAAATATGACCATTAATCCTCTAACCCTCCATCATCCGAATAATACGAATTTCAAAGTAATGTTTACTCGTGCAATACCTTTTTTTCTTTCTGTAAGTTGCGCACCTCGGCCATTACTGATACGCCGTCGAATCGTGTAGTACCAGTAAAAGCCGGCGTCAGTTCAGCCATTCACAATTTATTCTAACTCAATTTCATTCATTTACCAGCAAGTCTTCTTTCTGTTCTTTACCAGCACTTCTTTCCGAATGATATCTATTCCTATTTAACTTCAATCCGTTCCTAATGTTCATAAATTCAGATGACGCGAAGATGACAACGTGGGAATGCTCGGTTTGCTGGCAAGTCATCGAGGAGCATAGAAAGGCCGATATCAGGAAGCACCGAATCTCCCACATCAGAGAAAATGACTGGGCAAAGCTAGAGTGAGCATTCCCTCTCATAAAATTGAAATCAAACGTACCTTTCTTCAGGAAATCTGTCTCTCGTAGCAAAACGCAACATTGGCTGAACGAGCAGACAGAACAGCCGACTGCTTTGACGACCTCAGCTCAAAACTCTGTCGGTGATTCTCCTTGTACTAGCTTTGAGTCTCCTGGAAGTAACTTCAGGTTGGTCATTCTTTCTTTCTCAATTTCAGCTGCTTCCCCGGTACCTTCAATTGACTCCTTCATCCATCTGGCGAGAATCACGGGGTCCGCCTACAAATCGTGGGGGAGAATGTCGCACCTTTAGTTTCCTAGAATCATATACAGTTTTACAGTGTGATTAGCTGGTATCTAGAGAATGAAGGATGAGCATGAGAATTTCTCAGAAAATAATAATAAAAGGCTGCCTAATTGGTCCAAATCTTCTTTTGAAACTCAGCCGTGAGCGGTGGATTTTATTAAAACTTTTTGGTAAGGAAAATTTTAGTGTGGACGAATCCTCGCCAGACAGAGCTCAAAAGAAGACCGGCTCAAAACTAGAATCCCCAGTTCCAACGCCAGAGAGTTCGAAACCTCGAAGATCCTTGTACAAATGCGATTTCTGCGATTTCAAGGGAAAACGCGACGGAATCGTCCGCCATGTCAAATTCGATCACAAGGAAAAGCTCGACAAGTGGCGGACAAAACAGTCGGATGTTCTGCACTTGCCATGTGATCAATGCGACCGATTCTTTGCTTCAATGGACGACCGCGACGCGCACTTCAAAATGAAGCACCTAAAACCCGAAAGCCTCATCAGAGGAACTCCCGGAGGAACGAAACGGCAAGCGTCAGAGATGAAGGACACGAGGAACATGTCGCCGGCTGATTCAGTCAGACTCTTCGTCCGAAAGAAGCTAGAAAAGCGTGATTCTCGTTCGAAATCAAAGACGAGAGAATCTCTGCTGAATTTGTGCAAAGAGTACACTTCTGGAACATCGGATTCGAATCCCAAAGAGGCGGAAGGTCAAAAAGTCGATGTGATTTTAACCTGCCCAAGCAGCAGAGCGGAAGCTTTCTTCTCTGGGCGCCTTTCATTTTGTCCCTATCATCCCTGCGAAGCGACTTTCAAGGAATGGTGTAGTTTTTCTTTATTTCTGACATTTATAAAGAATCTCCATTCTCACCACAAATAGACTTCGTTAGCCCTTGAAGCTCACGTGAGCAGAAAGCACAACGACAAGTGGGATCACTTCATGCGATCCCTTGACCGTCCATATCAGTGTCCCTCATGTTCGTGGCGATACTCCTCCTCTCAAAGTCTACGAGAACACCTTCGCAAATACAAGAAGATCTGTGCCTCATATAAACCTACCTCAGAATGCACCAGGTTATCTTTCTCTTCCTGACTTGTCTTATAGATTCATTCAGGGAGCTTCTTTTCGAAGAAAGTTCGCTCAAAGCTGGTGAAGAACTTGCCGAAAATCCAGCCGACCTTCGCCCCTACATCGTTGACGATTTGATAGATCGGAATCGACGACTCTGCCCTTTCAATGAACACTTCCATTGCCAATTTCGTTTCAGTTCAGAAGAAAAGCTCGCAGATCACATTCAAAAGTGGCATCCTACTCATTTCGCAACGGTAAAACAAGACTACAGACGGCCAATTAATTATTTTTAGTTCATGCGATGCATTGACCGGCCATTCATCTGTGAAACATGTGACTTTCGATTCCCTGATATTGACCAGCTTCGATTGCACAAGCAAATGCGTCAAGGTGTGTGTTCTTCCTACAGTCGTGATCTACACGATGTTTACATTCGGAAGCGTCCCCGATCCGACGACAACATGGAGTCTGACGACAACTACTCTGAATATGACCCCGATAAAATATTCGAAGATCCACTTCTGTTGGAAACTGCGAGTATCAAGGGAGAACCAGATCCTGTTCGAGATTCGGATGAATTCAAGGAAGAAGCAGAGCCTGTTGCTGAGCCTGAAAAAACCTCCCAACCGCTGCTGAAAATCAAAGTCAAGGTGAATTTTGAAGTGTCTCAAAGTTTATAACATATTTCAGACTTATTCCGAGATGATCCACTGCCCCTACTGCGAAGTGAGATACAATCTAGACGAAGACAGCCGAGCTCTGTACAAGCTGATTTTCCACGTTTCCGCTCATCACCCTCAACTAAACGCGGCTTTCCGGTAGACAAAAATTACCACAAAACAACTCCTTACTCTCAATCCTAGTCGCAAAAAGACAACCTTTCTTCCCTACCAATGCGATATCTGCCGCTTTTGCTTCGTCGACAGGGACCAGCTGGCCGAGCATGATTGCGAGAAGTCCCTTGATGTTCCGCAAATTATTGAAGTAATTTGCGAGCACTGTGGGGCGAGACTGTGCTCCGAGCCACGGTATTGCAAGGATATGATCGATACGCATATGAAGAATCGCCATCGCGATCGATATTTACAATTCAGAAGTAAAAGGTACCCGTGGTTTTATGACGAGCCTTCTGTATATTTGCAGTTAAACAAAGCCAGACTAAAACTCCTCGTCACAAAATGAATACCGCATTTTTAGATCGGAGTACTTTAATCTAAAGTGTCCTGGGTGTCTCTTCTATTTCTCCAGCGAGAAGGCCCTCGATCGGCATGAAGAAAACTGTCGGCACCCGACCAACCCGCCCTTACTTGATCCTGCAGAAGATACCCTTTGAAAGTTCAATCTTTCCCAGCCTATATTTATTTCTCCCTATTATCTACTACTATTTATTTTGATTAAGTTTAACTATCTTTGTTTCTAACTCTTAAAAGTTTTATTCGATTATGCAAAACAGAAACTCGTACGTTGCAGCGCACGTCTTACAAGGTAAAGATTCGCGAATTGAAAAAGTCTCGCCTACTTTACTTATGCCAACAATCTTAAATTGTAATTGCTCTTGCTTGTGACATTTGTCGACTTTGAAATCTGCGCTACTGATCCGTTACTCTATCTCTTTCCCCTTTCTATCCTTATTCTTTTTTTGATTTTCATTCCCAAAAAGTGTGGTGACATTTCTGGGCATATACATACTGAAGCAACTGTTGAATATAAATGAATCCTACTCACTCTTTGTTGTCTAGATAATCAAATGGCGGACGCAGGAGCGTTGCCTCCCGCTGCAGAAGCGGAGGGCGCGCCGAACGGCCAGCCCGAGCAGCAATCTACTTTCAAAATGCTCATGGGCACGGTCGGCAGAATGATGTTCTTCTGGATGATCATGAACTGGTTCAAAGGAGGCGGGCAGAATCAAACTGCGAACCAGCAAGCGGCTGCGCCGGGATCTCCAGCAGCCAAACCATCGACAAATTTATTCAAGCCGGCGATTGTTTACGACATGAGCGCATATCTTATCGAAACGAATAAAGTAGACTTTGAAGTACACGAACCTGTGTGGGAACTAAAAGAGCTGACTTTTGGCCTGTGGAACGAGGGCGAAACGCAGGATTCCATCTTTTACAAAGAACTCGAACTTGATTTGAACGCAGAATACGAACAACTGAGAAACAATGGATCACTCTTTCTTGTTAGCTACATTTATCCTTCGAAAACAAGTCCGAATCCGAAAGCTGAAAACTATGGCAAAAACTTTGTGACTTCGACGTCAAAGAGCATGACAAAGATCCGCAAGAAGAAATATCAAGAGACTGTGAACCTTCTCTCTGGAGGAACTGAACGTCAGGAAGACAAAGAAAAGTCTGGGACTACAGAGTGGCTTCCCCACTGGCACGGCAACCTGACGATATCACCCGTCTACGATCATACCGCTTGGCCACAGGGGAAAATTCCAGCGCCACTTGATAGATACATTCGTTTCAACAACAACGGCAACTATTATCCTGTTCTGTACTTGAACGACTGGTGGAATCTACAGGAAGATTACAAGCCGATTAATAAAACTGACGAGACACTCAAAGTTCACCTTTGCTTCCAGCCGCTCAGCTTGTTCAAGGTTCGGCGAGATTTATATTATTAAGAATCACCATTTTCTCTTTTAGTTCCAGCTCTATCTTTCTCAGTCATACAACGCGGAAATGTTTTCCATGATTCAAGACGCAGAGGAAGCTGAGGGAGATAAAGATGCGATGAAGGTAACTGACATCTGGTTAATCTTATGCTTAAATATCGGTTTTAGAAAATGATCCTTGAGACTCAACCTTGGCTCCTTGCTCTTACAGTCGCAGTTTCTATCTCGCACACTGTTTTCGAAATGCTTGGTAAGTTGAGTTTCAATGTAGCGTTTTGAATGATTTTTTTAGCGTTCAAAAACGATATCCAGTTCTGGAAGTCACGAGAAAACATTCAGGGACTCTCAATCAGAGCAGTTTTATTCAACTGTTTCTGTCAACTGATTGTCCTCCTTTATGTATGCGACAACGATACCAACTTTATGGTCAAAGTGTCGATCGGCGTCGGGCTCCTCATTGAGCTTTGGAAGGTCACGAAGGTATGCGAAGTTTTAAGGGACTCTACTGATTGTTATTTAGTGTATCATTGTTGAACGAGCTGCTCCCGGTGAGTCAAACTTCATGGGCTTCAAATTCAAGGAGAATCGATCAAGTGGCGATTCGGAAACATCTGAATATGACAAGCTAGCGTTCAAGTACCTTGGCATGGTTTGTTTCCCCCTCGCTGCTTGGTAACATACCATTCAATTTATCGTAAATGTTCATTCTTCTTTAGCTACATGGTCTACAGTCTATATTACAACGAGCATCGCGGTTGGTACAGCTTTGTTCTCCAGTCTGCATATGGCTTCCTTCTGACTTTCGGCTTTATTGCTATGACTCCTCAATTATTTATTAACTACAAGGTAAGTGGACCTCGCTTGCACTCTCTCATTCTACATTTTCATTCAGCTAAAATCAACGGCTCATTTGCCTTGGCGAATGATGACTTACAAAGCACTCAACACATTTATCGACGACCTCTTTGCCTTTGTTATTCAAATGCCCACTTTGTACAGAATCGGTAATGTCTCTAAAACCCAGTAGCCTAACTGACTGTAACAATCGTAGGTTGTCTCCGCGATGACGTTATCTTCTTGATTTATCTTTACCAGAAGTGGATCTACCCAACAGATATGAGCCGGCGAAACGAATTTGGAATAACTGGCGAGCAAGCTTCTGGTGATGCCAAACCCGAAGAAATCAAGGAAGAGAAGAAAGCTGCCATCGAAAACAAAGAGGAGTCAAGCCAGCCTGAAAAGACAGTTGAAGAGAAGAAGGACGACTAGCCAGTCTTCTTAGACCAATTTATCTAGAATTTTAATACTTCTTGCGTGTGCCATTCAACGCAACTCCATATCTTCCATGTGTGGCATTGAAAATCTGAAAATGCCATTAAAAACAATATTTGTAGAATAATTTTAAGTCCACCAACATGTAATTGTGCAATTATGCATTTCCTTCAATTATTTTGTTATAAGCGTCCGCTGCGTGTTACAGTATCAATCAGTAAAGTCGTATTACTGTAATACTAATAGACTGCCTTGATTACCTCAGACCTGAGACCTAATCGACCTTCATTTTTAGCAATTTTCACTCTTGGTTTTCGGGTGAAAAGTTGGATGGAAAGAAAGGTGGAATAAATGAGTTCCGCCCGGGTGGTCAAATCTATCAAGTATCCTATCGAAAACGCATTTGTCGAAAAACTCACGAAACAGAATACAACTGAGAGTAGCGCCGATTCTTTCCTCTCCAGACCAAGCAGAGGTACCTTCCGAATATCTTTGTCCTTTGTTATTGAGCTTTCTCGTAGTAATTTCTTCATCACAAAGTTCTGTCTGTTCTGATGATTTTCCCTGTCTGGCAGAGGAGATTTCCAGCTTTAAAAACGAGACCAGCTCCATAGAAGCTGGCCGAGTGAACAACAATTCCTACATTCAAATGGAAGGTTCGCCAGCCTTCCCACTCCAACCAAAGAATCCCAACGAATAGGGTCGCATCTTTGTTTTAATTATCAATCCATGCAAAATTCTAGTGGGACAATTTACGACCCCGAAAAAAGCCCAAGAAAGTGTAACATTTGAGTCTGAAACAACGCGCCAAACAACAAACATAAACCGGCCCGAAGATATCACACCTCGACGGTAAATTCCCTATTCAAACATTCACAAAACAAGCCATCTCATATTCACATTAGTAAAATACTCAAACAACAAGCTTCTATAATTTCATGCTTCAAAAAATGCCCACCAGAAAGGTTCTCATCTCTTTTTTCTTTCATTGCATCTATCTTTCATGTCTATATAATCCTTTTTGTGGTTACTAATGTACTAACATTACTAACAAACTTGCACAAAAATTACTAATTCGAATAAGAGAAACATAACGTAACAATGTCTTCAGCGTCAAACCAGGAACAGAGCTAGCAGAGGCTCTATCACGAATAGAGAACGCACAAACGAAGCCAGTTGCCTTTGCCGTGAGAGCAAATATTTTCTTTTACGGCGTTCCATGCGACGACTGTCCGGCCAGTGGGAATCAAGTTACTTTTGAAGGTTGATTTTGAACAATAGAATAAGATCAAATTTCCAATTTAGCTCGTGACTATATTCATATAAAGGAAAAATACTCAACAGACTGGTGGATTGGAAGATTAGTTCGCGAAGGCTGTGAGTTAGGCTTTGTCCCTTCTGCTGCCAAGTTGGAGCAAATACGAGCTGGCAAGGGGAAGAAGAACCCCCTCAGAGCCGGGTACTTGCCTCTTCTTTTATTCGTTCGTTTAACTGTTTTTCTAGCGCCGATGGTAATGAAAACGTCGGTCAAAAGAAAAAGGCTTTCTTCAGAAGAGGTCAATCACTTATCAACCCATACGATGTTGTCCCGAATTCGAGACCAATAGTGCTCGTTGGACCCAGCCTGAAGGGCTACGAAGTGACTGACATGATGCAAAAAGTTATCTTCGATTTCCTCAAGCGCCATTTTCAAGATAGGATACAGTAAGCATCACACTTTGTGACAAACAATTATCTACACTTATTTGTAGCATCACTCGCGTAACAGCTGATCTGTCGCTGTCAAAGAGACAGAATCCTGGCGTTGAACGACTCCAGCGAAAAATGCTTGACAAAAATCACCAGCGATGTACTCTTGCTGAAGGTTTGTTTTGCGCGTAGAGAAACGGGATGGTTATTTGTTTTGATTAGTTGAGCAAGAGATCGATCGAATATTTGAGCTTGCGTCTGGGCTCCAATTGTTGGTGCTGGACGCTGACGCAGCAAACCTTCCTTCGCAGCTTGCTAAAACATCGCTTGCACCGCTTATTGTATATTTAAAGGTAGCGAGTTTTCTGTCAAAAATGCCCTATCTCATCCCTTTAGGTAACAAACCAAGAAGTACTGCGTCGCTTGATCAAGTCGCGCGGCAAGACGCAATCGAAATTCATGAACACGCAAATGCTCGTTGCCGAAAAACTGGCAAACTGCTCTCCTGACAGCTTCGACGTTATTCTAGACGAGAATCAGCTCTCCGACGCTTGCGAACATCTCGGCGAATACTTGGAAGCATACTGGCGCGCCACCCATCCCCTCGAAAAATGACCCCCTCCCCGGTAATTTACAAACACCCGCTTATCTCTTTCTTTCTTCATTCTACCCCGATGTTTCATTCCTCCTCCTCAGTACTATTTAAATCCTCATCTGTGAATTTACCTATTCGCAATTTCGTTTTGAAAATATTCCGAATGATCAAATTACTGTCCTTCAAAATCGACAATGGCGACTGTTTTTTTACCTTCTCCAATACGTTCCTCCTCGTTATGTTTTCTTCAGCTCGACTATTTCTTCAATAAAAACTTATCCTTTGACATCAAAACGCAATAAAAACATTTCTTCTAAAAACGAATCTACTTCTGTCTGACTTCAAAAAGGCGAGCAGTTTAGGCTAGGAGAGATTAAATTCCTTAAAAATCGAAAAAAAATTGAATGATCACAAGATTATATGAGCAAAAAATGCAAGATACTCTCTCTCTCTCACACCTTTTCTGCCGGATTCATGATCTCAAATCTCAGCTTGCTCGTTTTCTATTCATTCTATTTTTGCATGCGTTCTTCTATGTTCTGATTTATTCAAAATATTTTGATTCTGTTGTATTTTTTCTTTTGCATATTGCTACTATTCCATTAATAACGAAATTCATTAAAAATTATCAATCGATCCTTTTTAAAATAAAACGTTTAGACTTATGACATCCATTATTGATTCAATCGTTGAGTCGGATGTTTCTGAAGCAAGCGATGTATCGGTAGAAAAACCAAAACTGAACCTTCGGGACATCGTGAATGCTCCCCCGTCAGATGTGAAAGAAGCGGAACCGTCAGTACCAGCGAAGAAACCTCGGAAAAAGAGAATTGTACGCACATTCATTTTTATTTCACATTTTCTGAAAGCGCCATTTTAGCCGCAAGAATTGAAGAATCTCCAAGACACAGAAGAGTACATGGAAGCGAGCCGGTCCGTAAAAGGTGATGTAAATTCCGAAAGAGGTCGACGACCCCCGCGCCGTGCCGCCGTAATCGCGCGAGAAAATGTCAACTTACTTCGGGGAAAAGAGCCAACGGCAGCAGAACTAAGAGAAAATCGCAGCTTTGAAAAGTCGCCTGATAGATCTTCCCCAGAGCCACAGGTTTATATTTTGCCCTCTTCCTTGATTTCAATTCTTTGTTAGGATTCTCTTCGCGATCAAATTATCTCAATCAACTCATCCGGCGAAGAATCGGAAGCTGAAGCCAAAGAGAAGCCAACGGAACGAAAAAAATCGCCGTCCCCACCTCCAGTTCAGCCAAAACCTCGACGTAAGGAGAAATTTCTAGAGTAAAAATAGATTCAACCGATTTTTAGCGCCTCCGCTCAAGAAAGCGCCAAGCCGCGAAAGTGCAATTCCAAAGCCTCCACAGCTAAAACGCCGTCCCGAGCCTCTTCCAAGCCCCGTCAAGTCCAAGATTCCCAACCTGAGTCCGACAATTTCCAAACTGCCCGATTTCAAGCCAAAGTTAAAAAGCCCGAAAATCGAAGGAGACAGCAAGAAACCAGAGCAGCCACAGCCAAAGAAAATGAAAGAAGAGAAAAAAGAGCAGCAGGAGAATGAATCGAGCGAAACTAAAAGCAAGAAAGTGAAGAAGGAAAAAGAGCTGGATCCACAAGACTTGAGCGAGATCAAGAAGAAGAATGAAGAGTACGAGATCGCTTTTCAGAAAGTCTCGAAGCTCTTCTACGATTGGATCGAACAACGGGCGAAGACGGCGTCGGAAAATGGAATCTCGACGGAAGCCAGTGCAACTTAACTCTTTTCATAAATTGCCAATCTCACAATCTCATAATTTCTGTGAAACAACAACCTAATCATTTTACTTTTCCAAAATAGCTAGATTCAAAAATCAGTAATATTTCCCAAATATTGATCAACTTTAAGTAGGGCCTTCACATTAGCAATTATCCTCTTAATTGCTCTCTTCCTTTACAACTTTTACTCCATTTTGAACATTAATTTTTAAAACTATTAGAGACGAAAAGACAACTGTACATTGTTAAATATTATATTTAAGTCCTCGCTTTTTGCGAAAAAATAAAGAAAAAAAAATTAAAAAGACTTGTTCAGCTTCTTGATTGTGAAATGAATAAGCTCGAATTCGCGCCGAAATCTGCGAAGGTTCTTGTGTCTGGATAAGAGTTAAAAATTGAGAAACATTCTTTATCGGCAGTTTAATCATCTCTTAATTTTGAATACCGCTGAAATGCCCCTTGCAGGAGAAAGAACTGACAATAGAAATTTCGCATATTGTAAGAACTTGGGGTGAAATTAAGTCGATCAAACTTCTGCCGGCGAAAAGAACTTCTTCGTCCAGATCCGCTGAAGTCGAGTATATTTGGCCAGGCAATGCGATGGAGTGCGTCAAGTTTCTCCACGAAAAAGACGTGAGAGCAGATCTCCAAATGCCGGAATCCACTTTTCAGCAAAGCATCTTTCTTCAAGCCACCTTGCTTCAGAACAAAAAACGAACAGTTTTCAATGATAAAGAATTGAAGAAACAATTGCTTTCTGAGGCAAAAACTGCAATCGCAAATGAACCGGATCTTGTTAATTTTGTGGCTCATTCTATTTCAGCTGAAAATCCACCAGGTATCTGTCTTTCGAATTCGTTGATCTTATTCGGTAGCATTCACTGGGAACACTATCTACGCGCTTCATGACATTCTAAAGGAAATTGAGCCGTTGAATATTTCTGATCTTGTCCACGACTTTGACCTCCCCGATCCTCCCGTGCCTGATGACCCTGTTGATACTTCTTCTATACCGCAAGTTTCTTTGTCCTCCTTGCCTCCAGACATTCGTCACTTGCTGACTCCTTCTAATACCCATCAAAGTACGCAGCGCGTGTTCGTTCAGAATCTCAAAGAATATTTAGCGTCGATTTATGAAAATGAGCTGGACGATAGAACTCAATATGCATTTGGTCGAGGAAAGAACACAACCAAGATCAGTACCAGGGATCTTCTCAAGCAACAAAAGCGTTAATCCTAAACTTCATTCCAATCCTTTTCACTGCCATGTAATTTATAATCTCTTCCTTGATTTCAATACTTTCATAAAACCGATTTCGAATGTCTATTTTTCAGACAATGGGACTCGGAAAGCTCTTTATAATATGGGGATTCACCTTTATGGGTGGCTATCACATGTATCGAATGTTTGTGGATCAGAAGTCAAAGATGACTTGGATGTGGGAAAAGCCACGGTATCATGAGATCAAACTAGCCGAAAGCGGTTCGCGTAATTCCTATGGATTATACTTCTACGGCGAGGGCCAGTACTTCAAAAATGAAATCGCAAAAGGCTTTCGCGATAGTGCAGCTTGGCCAGTTTTGTTTGTTCCTGGCTCTGGCGGCTCCTACAAACAGTGTCGCTCTATCGGTTCCGTGCTCTATAATAAATGGAAGAAAGCCAAGGAAGCTCCGTATTTTCACACGTACGCTATTGATTTAAAGGAAGAACTTACGGGCATCTACGGGGGACCCCTCGAAGATCATGTGAAATTCGTACGAAGTGCGATTCAAGAAATTCTCGAGTACTATCCCACTGATGCGAAATTAACAATTGTCGGACATTCGATGGGAGGTATGGTCGCTAAAGCCGTGGTAAATCAATTCGCCGATCGTGTCAACTTCTTGCTCACCCTCGGTAGTCCTCATGCGTATCCTGTGATTTCTGATAGGATTCTAAAGAGATTTACCGCGCAGCACTGGAATGAAAAGCTGAAAGTACCATGTCTCAGTGTTGTAGGAGGTCTTCGCGATGTACAAGTTCGATCAGCCCTTTCTTTCGACGAAGAATGTAAATTTATCAGAGGCGAATCTGTTCCTGGAACTTGGGTTTCTCAAGATCACCAAAGCTTGGTTTGGGATAATGGTCTTGTTCTTGCCACAGCGAGGAGTATTTATGACACTCGCAGATATCCAGAAGAAATTTCCCAAGTTCTGAATTATCATTGGGCTGAGAAGACGAATTCTAGTAATCAGTACTCACCTCCAGTATTTGCTGAATCAGACAGTCCCAATTCTGAAACAACTGATTTACGTCTAGCACAGGGATCTTACAAGCTACCGGAAGTCGAACAAGATGTACAGCTTATTGTGTATGGAGACATCCATCGAGTCCAAGTCGAGAAAGAACTATCAAATTCATTCATGATCAGCGAAAAAGAGTTCTTCACTCAAACATCTATCACTCCTGATTCCAATGGATTCATTCAAACAAGTGGGGATGTTTCTCGAGCAGTTATTGCTTCAAATGACGTAGTCGTCGTGCCATATGTTATCAGTGGATTATTCAAGTGGATTCCAGGCATGAGCACAAAGACTATCGAGCTGAAAGGACCTTCGATCGTGGAACTTGAAGGGTTACTGATGACTTATCAAGTATTTGACATTTCTACAGGTATAAGAATGCTCCTATCGCAACTTTATTTTTTTATTAGATCGTGACTCTCATCTCATCGTTCGCGAAAATGGCAAAGCCTCTATCATTGGAAGAAATAATCTGACAGTTTCGTTGACTCGAGCAACGAAGGAAAGCACAACTCAGGGAGGGATTTTTATAATTTTTCCTCTTACTGACTGGAATTGTATGAATCCAAACACAGGTTATCGTGCTTCCAGCTATTGGTGAAGATGAAAACATGAAAATGACACTCAATGTCAATATTTTCGCCGTCTTCGACATTCTATTCAGAGAATACTGGTCTGTGATAGGAATGTCTTTCAAAAAGATTCCCTTTTGGGACAATTAAAAAGAGTAGTAAAATTTCCTGTTTCACGAAAATGTCTGTCATTCAAAGACTCAATACTCAGTTTCTTTTATTGTCGTTCAAGCAGCCTTCGTGGCGGCGTCAATCGTCCGAGGAAAGCAGGCGACCTGGGTTTTCTGGGAAGTGCTTTCATTCGTCTCCAAGCCGTATTATATCTGTCCGCTTCTTTCAATCTGCCACGGAGCCTTTACTAAATCCTGGCTCGAGTGGCTAGTTCCAGCAAAGGTTAGTTTTAAAACATTGTTATAAATTACTCAATTTGATAAGCAAAAGGCTCCTAGAGTGCATTAAAAACGCCTGCAGGTCTATAAACTTGCTTATAATCCTGTCGGGCGCCGCTTTTTGAAGTAGATTCTCGACTTTGATGTTTTATTCAGGACAGTAAATTTGCGCCAGACTCTGAGGTTCTTGACTCTCGGGAGCTCTTTCATCCGATCGTTTGCATAATTTGCTTTCTATTTGCCGGAGTCTTTCTTGAGACGCTTGCATTCTGCGTTTATGCTCTCCTCCGTCTGACGGCGCTTCTTTTCGGCAGATTCCTCGACCTCTTTCAAATGCTGTTTAGCGTCAAACTTCTCATTTTGGTGAGTTTCATTTATCACCTCCCGTCTAACAAAAATTTAGGCGTGCTCGGCGATCCTTGTCAAAACTAACGGTGCAAGTGCTCTTTTGCCGATTATACTTGCATCTTTCATTGATCTCGCTTATTTAGGGATCCCATATAATATATTTTATAATTTAACCCTTTAGGCGAACGTGGCGTTTTTAAACGCCACGGGATCTTTGGCGGACCATTTCTCTGTGAATTTCTTAATGAATTCATAAAATTTTCACTTTTCTGAAAAAATTGGACATTTTTCTACATAATGGTCACTTCAAAATAAAATTAACGCAAGAAAAACTTCTTCAAAAATCAAAAAGAAAAAGTCCGATTCGCCTAAAATAGGCTTACTCACGCGCTTTTCCCTTCAGAAAGGGAAAGGAGAGGGAGAGCGCGCTTCGCTTCCCTGTTTTTCGGTCTAACTTTGATGAACATTTACAGATATTTAGGACTAATGAATAGAGATAAAATTGACATCTTTAGACGGCCCAAACGATTTTCTAAGTATCAGTCATTTTAGAATCAGAGAAATTAACAGAGAAATACTTGAAAAAAGGGAAAAACTTCGTGGCGTTTGAAAACGCCACGCGGCTGCCAACCCATAGAGCCAGGCTTGCGCCCAAAGGGTTAAACGCCCAAAATGTAGGATCCCATCTTCAGCAAATACGGAAAAGCGGTAACGCAAAACCTAAAGAACGAGATACCTTCTGGGTCGATTTCATCGTCCTCCTATGCTTGCTGCTAGAATTTGCCCTGCTTCTACCTTCATTTATTTTCTGGATTCATCGCAGCGTTCAGATGGATTCCTATGAGCCGATTCCATTCACCGAAGATCCAGGAGTCATTCCTGGTCTCATAATAACAATTCAATACCCATTCGATTTGGCTGCACTAGAATTGTCTTTTCCAAGGTCGAGTTCGTCAAATTAAATGAATCCGATTCCCCTATTGAATGGTTTACGAACTTATGAATAGAAAAAATGCTGCTTTGATTCTAGCTGTTTACTCTGGAATGTACTGTCTCGTCAACATTCATCGATTGACCTTTGTACTTCCGATTCTGATCATTCTCCTGCGATCAGCGTCCTTTTCAACTGCCGAATCAGAAGTTGACGCTTCTGAAAAGAAAAATGATTAAAACACCTAACTTCTTCAATTCCTTCTTTAGACATTCAATTATCTGTACATAAAAATCGCCAATATCTGATGCTGATTCCGAGTCTATTTTTGTAGCGAATAAATACCACTATTCTGATTCAAAATGAACCAGCTGCTTGCTCTAAAGTCGGCGCGATCGCTGTCATTAGGCCATAATTTCCATTCAACCTCTCGAGTTCAGACAGATCGACTCGGAGCTCAGCAAAGCGTGTTTACTCGAGCAGCATTGGAGCTGAACGCGAGGTACTTGTTTATCAGTAATAAGCTCTCTCAGCTGTAAGGCAAACAGTCCTTTGAAATGCAGAGCGCGGATAATCCCTTTTTACACTAGATTTCCTTCCCCCGCTCCTTCTATCTCCGTGAGATTTCCTCCCTCTTCATCTTCTTATTAACCAGCCACTTGACAAAACGCCAGAGCCCTTTTCTAAAAAGGGCATTGTCCGTGTACCTAATTCACCATTTCAATGCATTTTAAATTAACCTTTCCAATTTTGCTCCAACTTTCAAACTTTCGGAACGCCATAGAAACAGAAAAGCAATTTGTTTTGCTTACGAAGTTAATTAAACTGGGAATCGTAACACACGATGCATGTCAAGATGATTGACATCCATCAATCTAGCAAAGACACTTTGACAGAGAGTGAGACCGGTGGAGAACGGTCGTATCGCCGGTCACTAATCCAGCGGTCAGTGATACGCTCTTTGTAGAACTTGCAGCATGTTTTACGGCTGTCTCTCTGGTACAGATGATATGTGCGGTAGAAATTTAACTCTTTTATTTTCTGATGATTTTTATAATCAGAAAAAAACAACCAACGAGATTTTTGAGCCTCAGAATATTACAATTTGAAGCTGAACTCTCAAAACATGTCTAGAAATCCTGAGTCAGGATCCTTCGCTTTAGGACCCTGACTCAGGTTACCCCGAGCCCATTGAAAGAGTAGTCAGCATATTTGAATGGTTTGAAATATCGTGCTGTTGACCCCCGAAAGCCATTAAAAAGTATATCTTGTTTAATTTCTACTCATGCAATTGGTATTCCTTTATGATTTCCATATTCATAAAACATAAATTCAAATTCATGTGCGTAAATTGCGCATTTCCTCGAGCGACCTTCGCGCTCTACTGGAATCGACTGAGCATCACGTGTTCTTTTATCCCAGCGCGATAAATAAATACCCGCCATCTGAATCCGTCGGAAGTAGCACAAAAGACTTTATAAAGTGCATACTGCCCTTGAAGTTATTCAAAGAAAAAGTGTGGGATAGAGCTCGAGTCTAATAACGTCGCTACGAGTGCGGTTTTTTAAATTCTTTAATGCGGAATTAAAAATTATTCTGTACCCCTGTCATCTGATCAAAGGATGTCTTTGAAGGTCTCTTGTGATGAGATTGTGGCCAAGGCTCTCTTTTTAGCGCGTTTTTTTGCGATCAGGTGCTCCGATTGATCTCTCCTTCGCGCACTTGGCGGCCCCGTTTGATGTCGCTTCCGATCAAGCCAATTCCCTTTTATGAAGTAGATCGCCCATTAGCAAATATTTTCTTCAGTTTTCGACATCAATGTCAAATCGTTGCTTCGTTGATACGCCTTTTTGTAAGAGTAGTTGTTTGTTTGGGCCAAGTACTAAAAATCGATAAGTGGGAAATAAATGACGTGGAAATTTTGCTGCGGTCAAGGGTCGTTTTGACAGGGGGTGTAAAAATAAGACTGAGGAATTTTCGCGGTTTCCTCATTCAAAATTCTCATAAAATCCTAGGTACACATTCGATTACCACTACCAACATAAATTTGTATTTTGATTGCCTTATTCTGAATATGGATTCCTTATCGAACCATTTTGATATGGGCTCAGCAAGATGTGTAGAAAACCGGACTCAGGCTCTGTTTCACCATGCCAGAAGTCTGGCGAATCCTGACTCAGGTTTTCCACACAGGTTGCTGATCGAAGATTTGCTTTTGATTGGAATGAATCTATAAGCACAAATTGATCTAAGAGTAAATCAAATTTGGAGATGTTAATTATGACAAATCTTGTTAGTATCGGAAAAATATCAAATGAAAAAAACGAGCTTTTCTTCAACTAAACTTCTAAAAATCATGTTTTCGCTGGAGCGTTAATTTTCTTTACGATAATAATAAGAACCTTCGGAACTTTGCTTTGAAGAATCGCGAACATATCAAGGCCTTGTTCGTTTCGCAATTTATGCATCACGCCGTCGCCGCTTTATCATGAAACGATTTCACATGGGCCCTTCGTTTCTTGGCTGATTAAAGGGACCGGCGGGCCGGCTGGCTTTGATGTCTTTGTATCTACTACAAAGTGGAACCTGTTCTAGTTTTAGGCAAGCCAGGCCTCATTAGGGCGCTCCCGCGTTGATCAGATAAAGGAAAATTCAATTCGTGGCTGGAGGCGACCTCATAGCGCCGCACTTTACGCGCTCTTCCACCACCGTTTTTTTTTTTCTTCCTCTTTCAAAAGAAAAAATATCCAAAAATCTAAACGTTTTCGAAAAAAAAACTTTGAAGAACACAGAAGTCATAAATAGAAACAACGCGTATTTTCTCTCTCTTTCAGAATTAGAAGAAAACGAAACACGAACGAGAATCGGAAATTGTTAAAGAGAATATAAAGAAGCAAATGTTTGGATGCCACTAGAGAGACCACCCGTTATTGGGGCAGAGGATGCACATAACACAGGTAATAATTTACAGTGATTATCGAAGTCATCGAAAAGACGCTCGCGGCTTCGATCAAAAACTTCAGAAAAGCCGCAGTTTTGTGCGGCTTCTCGATTTTCAGACTGGTTTTTATAAATTTCAATTTTACAATTACTTATTTTCATAATAATTCTTTACTCGGGCATATGTACAGTAAGATGATAAAAGGCGTTCTTTGATTTGTCTGCATAAATTGGTCGCGGGCTCGTTCTGCGTTGTGAGTGTTTGATCTCATTAGGATTTGTGGGAAACCGTTGTGGCGGTGCCTTTGAAGTTGATAAACGCGCGGCGGCGCCCGTTTGACATAGATTTTACAGATCAGCTGATTTGATTGGGACTCGCCGGCGGCGCCTGCTTTCATCTTCTGTCAAACGCACCGACCGGTTTTAAATTCTCTGTTAGTAAATAAAACGTTAGAGCTTTCGAGGAAGCGGCTGCGATTCTAGCTCCAGTCTAGCCGAAGAGAAAAAATAGGCGGGTAGGTGGCCCCCGCTATATCGACTAAGAGTGATAAATCGGCCCCTTTGATCTCGCATGATGATCTGATGGAGGCACTTTACATGAATCCTTTGAACTCGCTGGGAGATCTCATTCTCTTTACTGAGATTAAATCCGGCAGAGAAAATTCAACGCCAAGTTTTTTTTTCAACAAATTACCGACAAGAGATTCCCAAGAAAAAACTGGTTAGTTGTAAATATTTCCCCGAAGATAGTAAAGTAATATTTACCGTCAAAGATCTCCTCAAAGACGTTCACAATCCTGAAAAGTAATTACGCCAATTTTCAGATCGACTCAGAGCCGAGTGGTATTTGATGAACAATCATCATGAAGCTTTCGAAGACGTCCTCAGCAATGCGGAGAAGCACGAAGAGTTCAGAAATTATCTAGAAGAAAACGACGAGCGCGGAAAAGACATTCTATTCAAGATCAATGTCGTTCGAGTAAGTTCTTACACAAACTTCAAGAACAGTATCTAGCGTCTTATATAGGGACTTATCATAAAATGGTCGGAAAACTGCGACAAGGGAACAAAAAACTTGAAAGAAATCATCTTCTTCCTCTTCAAAAGCTCGCCCCAGCTGCTGAAGAAATTCGACCGACGCGACGAAGACTTCAACATCCACGCGGTCGAGCAATGTACTGCTGAGTTGAAGAAAGCATGGGATCAGAAAAGTAAAAAAGAAATTGCCGCTGAGAAGGCGGAAGCCCTCGTTTCCGCCTACCAAGAGACGCTCAATGCGATGAAAAAGTGCCTTCAGATCAAAAGCTTTCCCTTGTACCTCGAGCACAAGGCCAGCTTCCAGCCGCCTACTTTCGCTCTTCCTGAAATACCAGAAAACAGAGTAAGCATTTCATCATCTTGTTCCTATTCTAACTCTTCTTTCAGGAGTGCCGGCTGACCAGCGCCAATCTGCTGCGAACCCAGAGCAGCAGATCGCAGCACTCAACCCGCGAACCTTACTACAACTCAAACTACAGACCTCCGCCAACCAGCCACAACAATTCCGAATACGCCAGCCAAAGCTCCGACTGTACATCCGACACGCTTTCATTCACCACCGATTCCGACCATTTCACGTCCGAAGAAAACAGAAAGAGACGCGAAAAGGTAGTCTATTCTTTTTTACTTCTAAGTCAACCCTTTCCCTAGAAAAATCGAAGGCGGATGCTTCAAGCGAACCAATCGTACACGGGAAAATGCAACTTGCCCAAGTACGAGAATCCCAAGGAGCCGGAGCCACCAAAAGCTATTGATCCAAACCTCGTCATGCGGGATCAAAAGAAGTTCCACGAGATCCTGTGTGAAAAACTACGCGCTTATATCAAGAAACAGGTAATCACTCAAAGCCAGGGATTGGCTCTAAGATTCGTTTAGGATCAAAATGCCGATGACAATATACTCGACGAGCATATACGTACCAAGATGACGACGCCTGGCTCTCATACTCCCACACATCGACCTATCGTTCAGTTCCCTGCCACGCATCACCGTCCTCATGGCCTTCACATGGGCCCGCTTCCCTCAACGAATCCTCTCCCCGCAAAAGACCTGAGCCAGGACGTCACTGGCAAAGTCACCGGCTGGCTGCGCGAATCCGATCGCGAAATCGAAAGAAGACGAGCCAGTAGCAAGACGAAATCGAAGAACAAACACTCGCAGTCATTCAGTTCTTACGCCACAAATTCCGGCTACGAAAACGCGCAACGACAATCTGGCGCGAGCAGGCGAAATCAAACCATGAACCAGTCGTACAGCCATGAGAACCCGCAGAGTCATTTGAGCGTCGACTCAGGTCTCAGCTCGATCAGGCGACCGGAACACGACGATAATGACTTCGAAATGAGGGGCATCAAGGATCGACTCATTCAAGAAACAGAAGGAGAAGTCGTCACCAGAGGCCTTTACCACTACAACGACGAGAAATACGTTGTTAAGTATGTCCAATCAACTAACAAATTATCTATTACTAATAGAGTTACCATAAATCCAAAATTTTCAGTATAATCGAAGAGTTCTAACGTTTGATTTCAGAGTTCCCGGACGACCACCGACTTTTGACGCCTTCCGAAAGAAGTACCACGATTCATCGAGCCTCCAAGCCGTGCGTTTCTTCTTCAAGTGCGAGGACGGAGCGTGGATGGAGGTCCAAAACCTCGATGAACCGCTTCCCGTTGTGAACGATCTCGTCGAAGCCAAGGTCCACGAGCAGCGTCTCGACTGATCGACAACCCGTCTACCTGAAAACAATTCTATCACTCCCTCTGAAAACACCATCCAAAATTGTTCACCTTCAAACAAAAAATTCAGCTGAATTATATTTATTCATCTTTTTGCTTTTTCGACGAAACCTGCAAATAAAAAGAATCTTTTTGTCGACTTTAGTTTTTGTAAATTTGATCACATGTAGAACCGCATGATTTTACCGATAACTCTTGGTTCTAGTCCGGTAAAGGGTAGCAGCGCCAGCTCGATTTTACACTGAGTTTGAAACGGCCCGCGACGGGAAATCACAGTACATCTTGATTACAGTGGATCGAATACAAAGCCTATGAGGTGTCTATCATTTGACCGGCAGTCAGAATTCCGGAAAATCTTATGGTTTCATTTTTTCTCTAGAAACAAAAAGTCAACTGCCAAATTGGAAATGGATCGAGCTCTTATTTTTCTCTGGAATAGTGCAACTTTGCATTTCTTGTACAAAATGTTTTCGTAGTAGAGAAGGAGCCTCAATTCTCATTTTTTCTGATTTCAGATAAATTTGAATTTGCGTGAAGATGGACGTTGATCAGGCGCTTGATGAAGAGATTCTGAACATGTCTACTGACGACATTAAACTAAGATGCAGACTGTTGGACAATGAATGCAGCTATATGAAATCAGGTAGTTTTCATATTTTCAATAAGAGAGTTACTTGGAACTAGAGCACCAACGAATCACACACGAAATCGAAAGCATGAACGCCTCGATCAAAGATAACACAGACAAGGTCAAGCAAAACAAGGTGCGCCCATGGCTCGTCGCCAACATTGTCGAAATCCTTGACTTGCAAACTGAAGAAGACAAGGAAGAGGATGGCGCATCGATGTCCGTCGATGCTCAGCGAGAGGGGCAGACCGCCGTCGTCAAGACGTCTACCAGACAGACTATCTTCTTGCCCATGGTCGGCCTCGTGCCCACCAGCGAGCTCAAGCCCGGCGATCTTGTCGGAGTCAACAAGGACTCATACTTGGTTCTCGACAAGCTCCCTACTGAATATGATTCCAGAGTCAAAGTAACTTCCTCTACTTCGTTTCATATTTATAAATCGTCCTTTTAGGCTTTTGAAGTTGATGAGCGACCAACTGAACAATACACAGATATCGGTGGCCTTGACAAGCAGATTCAAGAGCTCGTTGAAGCGATTGTTCTTCCAATGGTACGTTTCATGAAAGGATTTAGAGGGTTTATTACAATTTTAGACAGAAAAAGATAGATTCATTGCGATGGGTATTTCCCCACCAAAAGGCTGCCTTATGTATGGCCCTCCTGGAACCGGTAAAACTCTTCTCGCCCGAGCTTGCGCTGCTCAAACTAAAGCCACTTTCTTGAAGGTAAAGTTTTAGCAAGCTTCGTGGGGTCTAATCTTATTCTAGCTCGGAGCTACCTCGCTCGTTCAAATGTTCATCGGTGACGGTGCTCGAATGGTCCGTGATGCATTCGCGCTTGCCAAGGAGAAGGCGCCTTCCATCATCTTTATTGATGAGTTGGATGCTATCGGTACAAAACGATTTGATTCAGAAAAAGCTGGTGATCGAGAAGTCCAGGTATTCGATTTGGGTAAGGGTTTCTTTCTACCAATATTTGTAGCGAACTATGTTGGAGCTTTTGAACCAGTTGGACGGATTCCAGCCAAACGACAACGTAAAAATTATTGCTGCTACTAATCGAATCGATATCCTTGATCCTGCGCTCCTGCGATCTGGACGTCTTGATAGAAAGATTGAGTTCCCGAAGCCCGATCAAGAAGCGAGAGCTAGAATTATGCAGATCCATGCGCGTAAAATGACCGTCGATCCAGATGTTAACTTTGACGAAATCTCGCGATGCTGCGATGACTTTAACGGCGCTCAGTGCAAAGGTACGACATCATGAATAAACCTGATGCTTATTACCTTCCCTAGCTATCTGCGTCGAAGCAGGAATGATCGCTCTAAGACGAGGGGCCGCGGAAATCCACCACGAAGACTTTATGGAAGCCGTTCAAGAAGTTCAGGCGAAGAAGAAGGGCAATCTCATATACTACGCATAATCAAAATTCACGTTTAGCTTACTTTACATTCTCTCGCATTTTACTTGTACTGTGAACGACTGTTACGGAAAAATATTTTGAGTCAAATACATGTAAAAGATTTCACTAGAGACCGACCTTTGTTTTACTACCAAATTTTAACTATTCTAACGCATTAAATTTTTAGGAAAAATGATGAGGCCATCTATATCGGAATCGGAAATCGATGAGCCAATAGACCTTACAGGAGAGTCTTCATCAAGTTCAATTCTGAGGCCCTCGCAGAGGGAGAACTTGCCGTCTTCAGAATCCCAGGAAAGCTTGGATTCTTCATCAAAGTCTGTCCCTAATCTCAAGGAACTTCAAATCACGAACTCACAAGAGCCTCCCGTCGCACAGCGTATGCGTTCCTCATCGCGCACCAATGTAAAGCATCTGGACAAGCCTGATGACTCGGGAGAAATTGTATTAAAAATAGATACCGCCGAGCTGGAAAAAATGAAAGTCAAGAAATGTCGATTCCCAAGACTCACCTCATTGCCTTTTCTTGGAGAGATCGCGGAGTCCTTCGCCAACTCCGTAAATAATTATGAGAACCGACTTCGTTATCTGAAAAAGAAGCATCCTCGGACAGAAAGCGACGACGAAAAAGAATGGTTTTACAGGCCAAGAGGTTCACATGACAACGTATCAGCTTCTTCAAATCCGCACACATCAAATTTACCTTTGTCAGTTGAATATAACCTCTATTTTCCAACCGATAAAATGATGCCCGACGCAACTCCCTCTGAAATCGCCAGAATCGACCATTACAGAGACATGTTCAAGTGGGAAAAGCGTCATACGAACTGCGCAAAGCGCAAAGTGGAATACATAGTGGACTTCAAGCGAAAAAATCAGCACGATTTGTACAAAGTAAAATGGTGCGGCATTCCGGAGGTTGGCGCGACCTGGGTGCGGCTGATCGACATTCCTTTGCATCGCTACAACTTCAGTCAGAAAATAAACGATTTCTGGAAAGCGGCTAAAAAAGTACTACCTCACAAGAAGATGCCCGTTGTCCGTCGTTCTAACTACTCGATTCCTCCTGAGTACTCGGCAAAGATAATCACCGACTACGTCAAAGAAAAACACCAAATTATGAAAAAGATATTAGCGCAAAATCCTCTTGGTGAGAATCTAATGATCGAAAATGAATTCGACTTGTACAAAACGCCATTTTCATTTGAGTTCATCAAAGAGAACAAATTCATCGGGAACGAAACACAGCGGGAAGAATTTCGAAAGGAACTAGAAAGTCAGGAAGAAGTTGCGAATGCGATGGGGCATTTATGCATGGAGGAGTGCGGCGAATGCACGACAGAGTTGTATAACCAATACGACTTGGCTCCTCATAAAGCGACTTGGACGAAGTACAGACATTATCAACACGTTCTGACAGAAGAAGGCGATGACTACTGGAAAGTCGTCCATCCACATAAGTTCCTCATCTTCGAGTGCACAGATGGCTGTGTTTGCCGTAAAAATGGAACTTGCAAAAACGATCAGCTTTCGAAACTCCGAGCAAACTACAAGAAAACGAAGTTTTCCGTCTTCAGAACTGGCGACGACCGTGGTTGGGGGCTGAAAGCCATGCAGCGTTTCAAAGAAGGCGAGGCAGTCATAGAATACGTCGGCGAACTGATGAGAGAGGAGACGTTTCGACAGGCAGAGACAAAACTTTGGCGAAAGGGCCTTATGTACAGGCAGGGTTTGAAAATTTGATGAGGCCTGTTTCGCGTGGAACTTTACCGTTACCACGAAAATCGTTTGTCAAAAACACTTTGATTTTATCAAGTCTATTTTTCTTCGTTCGGGTCACTAGTTCATAGGGTTCGTATTTTAGAAGTTAGAAACGGCGAAAGTCAACGATCGCGCGATATTTTTCAAATCCTTTCAACAGTATGGACTTGCCGGTAAACGACAACAACTTCCATGAATATGTTATCGACTCGTCAAGGAAGGGCAACCATAGCCGGCTTATTAACCATTCCTGCGACCCGAACTTGACCGTTTACAATATCATCAAAGATGATAGAAATGTGAATCGCCCGTGCCCAGTTCTCTTTGCGTTGAAAGACATAGAACCCGGCACTGAATTGACGTTCAACTACAAGGTCAAGGTGAAGCAGGCGAAAGAAGAGGATGATTCGAGCGACGGATCGTCAACTGAAGGAGACTCAGAAGAGGTTGAATGGGCAGGCGAAAACGGACAGCCATTCGTCTGTCAATGTGGAAGTAAAAATTGCAAAGATCGTCAGCAGAAAAACATGAAGAAAAAGAAGAAGCAGGATAGTAAAAAGCGGAAGATTCAGACAAGTTCGAAGAATAAACCGAGTAAAAAGCCAAAAGCCGAAGATATCTAATTCAAGCGCAGTTGCAAACGAAGAGCCTTGTCCTTTGTTCCGTAGAGTTCTAATTGAAGCTGTTCCACTGTTCCATTTATTTATATAATCTTCACAATTTTTCTATTTTTCACAATTTTGACCCGCTTTACTGCCAACGGTCAAACTCAAAAATAAATGCGAAAACATAATCAACCGACAGTCTTTGAAGATTCGTTCCCATACCATCTAGACCTTACAGTAACTCATTCTGCTTTCAATTGAAATTTTTTCTTGACCGTTAGTCCAAAAGATTTCTGATTGCATCCAGTCTACTTTTTGGCGAGTTCAATAGTTCAATCAATTTTGGTTCGGTCCATATTTTTGGAAATTGGAAGTGGCTAAAATTTAGCGATCGCGCGCTGATCGGTTGAAATCAGGTCCGGCGCTAAGACGGTTGCTCTCATTCGCCTTCGTTTCACACTTGTGGACTGCTGCATTGTCAATTATATTTTCCAAAAAGACAGAGAAATAGATTAATTCATAATTTTCAGAGATTCTATTCAGTAAATTCATTCTTATTATTAGAGATAGTGAGCCTTAATATTTATAATTTATGTATCCTTCTATGTTTAGTCGTCATTTTAGCTCGTAAGTTGTGGTGCATCTTTTTAATTCTCCTTTTTTTAGATTGTTAAAAATGTTCGGCAAGCGAAGACGGGAGAGCCTATGTGCGTCGAATATCGCGACAGAAGAGAATAAAATGACGGTAAGCATTTTAAATTACTATCCTTCGCAATAAACGATTCATTTTAGACGGTCCTGCGAATCCGTCCGACCGCCGGGATCGACGACTACGACGATAATTACCTCCGTATCAACCAGTTTGATTCGGAGGTAACGCTTATCCCTCCGGAGTTTCGACCAGGTGCTCCGGCGGAGAAGTTCAAATTCGACCAGATCCTCGGCCCGGAAGTCCAACAGCCAGAAGTGTTCAAAAACACCGTCAACAACCTGGTCAAGGCAGCGTTCGATGGAAAGAACGCCTGCCTCTTTGCTTATGGCGCCAGCGGTTCTGGAAAAACTCACACGATGATGGGCAAGCCATCTGATCCAGGAGTTATTCCACGAACCCTGGAATTGCTTTTTAAGGCTGTGGGCGGCCAGATCGATGAGAACGAACAGCTCATTGCGACAGGTAATCTTTAAAATCTAAAGATATCAATTATCTACTTTATTTTTAGGGAGCTGTTCTATTCGAGAGGGGACGAAAAGCGAGCTGAAAGAGAACGAGAAAGCTCGTCTCGAGGTGCGTCAGCTCGCCAAGGGCGCTTCGTCGAAGAAAGGACCTCGTCGATCGATCACGTCAGTTCCCGACGAGCCTTTCCAGCAGCGACTAGACGATGTCGACTTCGAAATCGACAACGATTCGACATACGTCATCTACGCTTCGTTTTACGAGCTCTACAACGAAAAGGTAATTCAGTTGAGATCAACGAGGACTAACTTTAAAACATAACTTTAGGTCTACGACCTGCTCGTTCCGATGCCAAAAGATAAGAAGCGAGTGGCGCTGTCGGTGAAGATGGACCACAAAGGCGCCTACGTGAACAAGCTCCGACAGATTCGAATTAACTCGCCGCACGAAGCGCTCACTCTTCTGAAGGCGGGTCAACAAGGTCTGACTACTGGAGCTACGCGTCTCAACTCCGACTCTTCACGATCGCACTGCTTGTTCACCCTGCGCATCGCGAGAAAAGTCAACAAGCATGCCTTCCAAGTGTCCAATCTGGCCTTTTGCGACTTGGCTGGCACTGAGCGCGGAAAGAAGCTTGGTCGCGCCGACCAAAAGCTTCTCAGCGAATCGAAGACGATTAACAAGTCGCTAATGCAGCTGCGACTTGTCATAACCGATCTTCAAGGGCTTCAGAAGAACGGAAACAAAGTCGTCTCCTTCCGAAATTCGAAGCTGACGCAGCTGATGGAGCCGTATCTCGTTGGACATTCGATGACATGCATCATGATCGCTGTGTCCAACGATCCAGAGATCTACGACGATACGCAGCGATCGTTAGAATTCGCCTCAACGGCCCAACAGATTCAAATGGGCCTCGATCGTCACGGCAAGAAGCTGAAAGAGTCTGCGAAGCTCAATCTTTCTCGGGTTCCATCGCCCGAGGAAGAAATTGAGGATACGATGCATCAAGACGAGCACGAAATCGATGACCCCTACGGCGTCGGCACTGACTTTTCCGACTGGACGAAGCAGGATGTCATCGACGATCTCGTCTACTATATGCACTTCGTCAAAGACCGCGAGCAGTGCATCCAGCGAATGAAAATCGAATGGCAGAAAGACGAACAGGAGTGGAACGAGTACAAAGTCAGCTACGAAGAAAGAATCGAAGACTTGAAGATTCTTCGTCATAATGCACGAGCGACTGGTACTAACGATCTGATCGACGCGGAAGAACGGTATTCTAAGAAACTCAAAGGTCTGAATACTGTCATCGAGGACCTAAAGAAAAAGCTTTCGAAAGCAGCCGGGACCGAGAAACTCGATGAGCTTACTGCGGAGAACATCAGCCTCCAAGAAAAGATCGATTCCCTGAACAGCCAGATCGAGCTCGACAATCAACAAATCATCGATTTGGAGCGCAGAAAAAATGATGAACTCGACGCTAAAATCTCCGAGATCACTTCACTCAAGGCTGCTGCTGACAGTCATCAACTGACCGTTTCCGATTTGAAGTGCACCATCAGCGCTTTGCGAGAAGAGCTCGACGCTGAACGTGGTCCAGGGCCTATGAGTCCCATTAGCGAGAGCACCCATGTCTTCGAACCGAACAACACGAGGCAGCTATTCCGAGATTCGTTACCCGCGGCTTCAAGTCATAAGATTAACGATCTCGAAATCGAAAACAAGCAGCTCCTCGAGGACAACGATTCGCTACGACATCAGATTGAGATCGGCAAAGAGATGCTCTCGAATTTGCGCAGAGAGAAGTCTGAGTTGCGAGCGGCGCTTGAAAAGACCCAAGATGAGGACGTGACATCTGAACTTCAGGAGCAAGTCCAGCAATACGCTTCCAACTTGTCCTCGATGAAAGAACAGTACCAGTCACTTGAGAATCAGCTCGAGGAAGTCCGTCAAGATAAAAACAGCTTGGCTGAGAAACTTGAGCTCCAAATTGACCGTAAGTTTTAGAATCGAATTAGATTTACTTTTTTTATCAAATATTTCAAGCGATAACTAACTTTTCAGAACTGGCGAGGTCCGAATCCGAATGCGACGAGCTCCGACGGTCAGCAGAGCAACTCAAAGAGCGTATTCACGGCGTGGAAAGATGCCTGGAAACATCGGAAAAAGAAAAGCTCGAGGCTCAAAAAGGTAAATCAAAGGATTTTATTCTTAAACTCAATGTGCAAATCCTCATTAGCGCTGGAACTCTTCAAAACAAAATCAGAATCGCTGCAATCTGATAGTGAGAGAATGAAGGAGCTCAACCAGGAGCTGACAACTTTGAGATCTGACTTTTCAACGCACCTCGAAAAGTCAAAGGAGCTGGAGCAAAAACTCTCTGAGAAGATAATAACAATTGATCTGCAGAGTGAGGCAAAAAATCTATTTTCAAAATCAATTTCTTCAAACCTTGTTAAGAAAATCGACGAGCTTCAACACGAGTTGAACAACGAACGAATTTCTAAGGATCACGAGATAGCATCACTCGCTGGTGATTTGGAAAAGCTCAAGGTCTCGCAAAAGGCGTCTGAGGAAGCATCCGAAAGCGACAAGCAAGAACTTGCGAATCTGAAGGATGATGTTTCGAGCTTGACTTCCGAGATTGCTGCCAAAGAAGTCGCCATCAAAAAGCTCGAAGATGAGCTCGAATCCATCAGCTCGTCAAAATCGGACGCTCTTGAAAAAGCAAAGAACGATCTTCTTGCTGCTGAAGAATCTTCAAAGGCCGATTTGGAGAAGGCGAAGGCCGATCTGAAACAGGGCCAAGAAGATCTTAAACAGGCCGAAGAAGAAATTAAACAGGCCCAAGAAGATCTGAAACAGCTGAAAGAGACTTCTGACGCCGAGCTCGTCCGAGTCAAGCAGATCATGGAGGAAGAAATCGAAGAGCTCCAAAGCGTTGTCGCCACACTTCGCGAAAAAGCTGAAGCTGAAATATCTCCTCCAACTGACTCAGAGGAAGTCGAAAAGCTTCAAGCAGAGGTAAAATTTATAATTTATTTATAGAAATCTAATATTTGGATTCAGATCGACGAGCTCAAAGAAGCTCTCAAGGACAAGAATTTTCGATCGAAGCTGCGAAAACAGCTCGATAAAGAAAAAGAAGAGTCCGCATCTCTGCGAAAGAAGCTTGCCAAGATGGAGCAGCAGCTTCAAGAAAAAGAAGCCACCATCGAACGGTCGCTCACCTCTTCTTCGATCGTCAAAGGCGAGGTAAGAACCAAATTATCTATTTTCATCCAATTGATTCTTTTCTAGCCGAGCTCTATAGAGCAATCCAGCACCGAGGACTCAAAGGTGAAAGATGAGCCCGACGAAGAATGGGTTCAGCCAAAGCCTCAAACTCCTCTGCAGCGTATCAAGAACAAGCTGACCGGAAACACTCGAAAGAAACGTCAACTTGCTCCCCATTCGCCTGATGCGATGGAAAACTCTCCAGCTGCTGCTGAGGTCCCAGCTCGCCGAACTCGACGGCAAAGAAAATAAAACTTGTCGTCTTTCATCTGTATTTATTCCATCCACCATCATCATTTTTATCACGTCATGTTTTTTCCAAATTGCATGCCGTCATGGCATGCCCTACAAATTTCACCAAACATCCTCGCACAAGTTCACCATTCCAAATTTAACTTTCACATTCCCCTTTACCCCCACTGCCCTTATCAAGTGCTACCCAACAATAAATTGAACTCAAAACTTATCAAAAATGTCTCTTTTTGTTTCAATAATAAGAGATCATCAAGCTTTTACAGTATTTTTGCAGGCATTTATGAAACGCATTGTCCATTCATGAAATGTTTTCTGGTACTTCTTGCAGCTTTTGTTTTTGATAACATGGGCGTTTTCTGAAGTCCAAATATTTGCTCGCCCGATTTATATGTTTGCAGAATCCGCAGTCTATTATCCTCCGACTTCTTTTGAATCATTTTCATCAACTGATGTCGAGATATTTAGAATTCGCTTCCGAGTGGCAAAAGTTTATTGTCCAAAAGTCTGAAGTCTTGAGCGAACTCGAGATGGACGACTTGCGGGCGGCGGTGATGAACTGGAAGATCGGAGTCGGCCTTGGCGCCGCGTGGTTTTTCTTCCGAAGAGTCAGAAATCGACAGCAGTATCACCACTTGTGCGAGTACGAATACGGCCAGTACAAATGTGTCCCCGAGTGGCTACCCTCAATAAATGGGCGAGCTCTTAATTTTCTTTCTTGGATTTGTAATACACAGGTATTTCATTTTCATCAACCAGTAATTAAAGTATTGAATAAGTTTGGTGATCTATTTATCAACGAAATCATTATGGCCGTTGTTGGCCTTCCCAAATTCAGAACGTTGAAACTTGACGAAGGTCCAACATTCTTCCCTTTTGCGCCGCATAACCTTCCCGTCGCGTTGCCAAGCGAGCCAGTTGACATTTCTGGTCTTGAAAAAGCTCATAAAGAATTGTCTCACGTCCCGAATGAGTTCCGTTACCGATCTGCGTTTGAGTACGTTCAAGCTTATAGAAACAGCCAACTTACTCCGTTGGATGTTGCAGAGCGACTTGTGGAGACGATCAAGCGCACGAATCCAAAGTTGAGAATGCTGTGCGACTGGCATCCTGAAATGATTCTCGAACAAGCGCGAGACTCAACAGAGCGTTACATCTCTGGAAAAGTATTGTCGCCACTCGATGGAACCTTTTGCGTCGTCAAGGACCAGATCTCCGTGATCGGCCACTGCAATCGGGGAGGACTCAGCTACGTGAACAAAATGGAAGACGTTGACGCACCGATCATCACTAAAATTCGCGATGCCGGAATCATCATCGTTGGCATTTCAAACATGACCGAGCTTGGAATGTCTGTATTTGGCGCAAACCCTTCTTCTCATCATGGAACTTGCAGGAATCCGATCAACACAGACTACTATCCAGGGGGAAGCTCCAGTGGAACTGCTGCGGCTATTTGCTCTGGGCTCGTCCCCTTCGGAATCGGTACCGATGGTGGTGGATCGATCAGAATGCCTTCTTGTCAAACTGGTATCGTTGGCTTGAAAACAACATTCTCGAGAGTATCTGCAAACTCTTATTCAAAAGCCAAGACCTGCTGTAGCACAGTGGCTAATATCGGTCCCATGGCATCGAACATCATTGATCTCGCGCTCTTCTATCAAGTTCTCGCAGGTCCTGTCCGTGGTGACGCTTTCTCAATGGCGCAACCAAAAGTGAAAGTTCCAAAAGAACTGACTCCCTATATCGACGGCATCAAAATCGGCGTTGACTGGAAATGGGCGGAGCTTTCGCGCCCAGAAGTCTTCTCGAATTTCAAAAAGAAAATAGAATTTCTGGCTGAGCGTGGTGCAAGAATTATTGGCATCGACATTCCAGAGCTGGATTTCATCAATACCGGTCACTTGGTGTCTATCGTTTCCGAAGGTTGCGAACAGATTGGAGAGGCGCTGAATAAGCAGCGAAAAATTGCTCCAGACAATGCGGTGATTCTGAATGCTGGAATCGCAAAGCTCGCAGCTACCGATTTTGTTCTTGCTGCTAAGTACAGAACGAGACTGATGACGTACTTGAAGGGATTGTTCAAAAGCATCGATATTCTTGCCAATCCCACTTGCGCACAAACAGCAGAACGAATCCTGGATAGTGATGAAGCCGGCTGCTGGAAGTTTGGTGCTACTCTGAGGTAGATTTATTATAAAGAAGCGACTATTATAAATTTTTATCTAAAGATACATGATGTACGTAAAACTCTCGAACTACTCGGGAATTCCATCCATGTCCGTTCCATCTGGATTCGCGCCTGACGGATTGCCAACTGGAATCATGCTCCAGGTAAATACAGAAAAGCTTCATCAATTAAATTGTTACTCCAAGGGCAACTGGTATTCAGAAGAACTTCTTATAAAAGTAGGCCATGTTCTTGACCTCGACCACAAACGCGTCCGACCTCAAGTTTTCACAGACCTTCTGCACTAATCTTTCCATTTCAAATATCTTATCTACCTGTTCGACTTATCTGTTCAAAGTTATAAATTATCGTCAATTTAAATATTTAAATCAGCTTCTGTGCAATTAAAAAAACATTCAAGACCAATAAATTTTCTTTGATTCTAACTTCTTTCTTTGGCAGAATGGAAGGCGCCATCAACCACATGGATTCCATCGGTCGACCTACCTCAAAAGTCCTTGCGCCGCCAGGAGGTGGGAGCTCCAACATCTTCGGGACTGATCCAGAGCCTGTGAAACAAACAGCAACAAGAAACAGGAAGAATGAGTCCTCCATCTTTGGTGCTCCGGAGCCCGTTCAAACTCAGAAACCAGCTGAACCAAAGGTCGAAGCAGCTAAAGAAGCTGCACCTCCCAAAGAAGCTCCAAAAGAGGCCCAGAAAGCTGAAGATGCTGCCCCAGCTCAGGTGCCCAATGCGAGTGATTACGTTTTTAACCCTTTTTAGACCAACCAGAAGACTACTTCAATCAAGGTCCATGCTCCCCCAGGAGGAAAATCAAGCATCTTCTTCGGCTAAATTGCTACCTCGTCAATTACACGTACTATCCTGTTCTCTGAAAACTAACGCCTTAGCCTGTCTCTGGTAGATGCTTGTTAGAATCAAGCATTTCGTATTTCTTTCTATCTCGCTTTAATTTTTATCGCTCCTATTTGATTTGCATTTTTTTTACTTTTCACTGTGAAATAATTGACTTGTACTCTTACTTATCATGATTCCACTGTTTTCTTCCGAATTTATATCTTCCTTTGAAAAAAAATCTTTACTTTTCAAATCCAAGTATGATACGGGGATGTTCCCATTTACGTCGATTTCGTATGCAATTCAACACTTCGGTTTTATCCGCCAGTTCAAAAGCCCCTACTCTTCTTGAAAATGAAGGGATCTTTTTCCACGGTCAATCCATCGATGGCGCTACTTCTTCAGTTTCCACTTTTGCGCCTAAGCTCTTTGAGACAGAAATAAAAAATGTCCAGCTTGTATCTGCTGGAATTGGCTTCTCCGTGATTCTGGCAAACGGAGAGCTCTACGGCTGTGGGCTGAATACTTCTGGACAACTTGGGTAAGAGACTTGCCAAAAGAATGAAAATTAAATTCTTTAAGATTTCAGGGGTACTCTAAATATCACGCGGAAAAGCTCGAATCTGAAGTGAAAAACTTGGAAATCGTCAAAACTCTTAGCAAAATAAAAACGTCGAAGCTTCCTTCAAGTCAGATTATTTCGATTTCCGCGGGTCGCCAGCACTTTGGCTTTGTAACGGACACTGGAAAGGTGCACCTTCTTGGGTCAAATCGAAGTGGTCAATGTGGAAGAAGAGTGAACTTTGATGAAAGCTCTTTTGAGCGACCAACAGAGTTTGTTTTCGACACAGCGGTTCGTTTCGGATCTCCAGCCGTCAAAATATCATGCGCGTTTGACTCAACCTTGGTCTTGCTAGAAAATGGAAGGGTTATTTCATTTGGTAATGGTTGGGACGGACAGCTAGGAAGAGGCGACTTTGTTTCCGACCACAGTCCGAACTTTGTCGATTGCGAAGAGCGTTTTGTTGATATTGATTCTTGTGCCGACTGGACTCTTGCGAGAACGGAAGATGGGCGAATTTTCGGCTGGGGAAATAACGAATACAATCAGATTTCATGTAAAAAACAATCAGGCAACCCCAGTTCTTATGTGTTCTTTTAGCGCAAGAAGTTGATCGAATCGGCAAGCCACAAGAGATCTTCTTTGACGAGTTCTTCGAAAACATCAAAGTCCTCAAAATCGCGTGCACATCAAGTCAAGGCTTTGCACTTGTCGAATCTGATGTTAAAACTGGCACAGCTCTGTATAGCTGGGGCTACGGATTTCATAATGATGTCTCCACGGAACCGACGACTAGAAAATATCCACAAGAGATTGCGCTCGATGTCAATATCAAGGTAAATGAGTATAATTCGATACTTTATCTTACTTTCCATAGAATATTTTCGGAGGTGTTAATGCTCTGGCAGTTCTCACGGAAAATGATGATCTTCTAACTTTTGGCAAAAACGAAAAAGATGTTCTCGGCCATTTGAACCGCGGAAATCTCGCAGAATACATCATCGAAACTCCAAAGACGATTTCCCAAGTGGCGATCGGCCTGAATCACGTCATTATAGCTGGCAGCAAAGAAACGAAAAAGGTTGAATCAACTTTCAGCCATCAAGTTGTTGAAGATAGCACTCCGATACAAAATATAATTGAAGCTGAAATCGCTGCTGTTATGGAAAATGACTCTACCTCGACGCCAACTGAAGACATAAAGAATAATTCTCAAAAGAAAGATGCTCCTGAAAAGCCTGTCAAGGAAGATCTGCAAGAGAAACGTGGATATCAGGGCAAAAACTTTGACCCCAACTTCAAAAAATTCGCCAAGCCAGCTCCTCAAGAAGATGCTCCAAGAAGAGGCTACGTGGGCAAAAACTTTAACCCGAACTATAAATCGGATCCGATTAAAGTCCACCATAACCCCAAAACATATCATAAACAGGGAAAGAACTTCGACCCCAACTACAAGAAGAAATTCAACCAGCCACCTTCTGAATATGGATACAAAGGCAAAAACTACGACCCGGACTATCATCTTAAGAAAAAGCAGCAGCGAGAAAATAAAAATAATCCTCACTTCAAACAATCTTCTGAAAGTTCAACTGAAAGCTTTGGTTATAAAGGGAGAAACTACGACCCGGATTACTATAAAAAGAAATATCAAAAATAAAAGAAATTCGTTGACATAAATAATACTTTTGGAAGTAGAATGCTTATAAGCTCATATTTCCGCCGTCTTTTTCTTTTTCGAAGCATGGGCATCTTATCAGGATTATTCAGTGATGAGCATATTTTGAAATTATTTTATTACATGTCCGTCAAATATTTGCATCTTGCTTTTCAGAAATCGTCTTCATTCTTTGCATTTTGTTATTCTTTATGATCGTCATTCTGGCAAGAAATCTTCCTTCTCGAGTCATCCCTGTACTTTCTGTAGAAGGCGATACTCGGAAAGGCTAATGTTAGACTCAAGGCAGCCATAACGTAGTTCATCGTTGCGTATTCTCCATTTTTGAGACTTATCCAGTTCGAAAAGAATAGTTATTTTGCTTTTTTGAATTTTTTCGAACTTTGGTTGAAGTCTAAAATGGGAATCAAAAGCAAAGTGAACGGCTGGATCAGAACAGAAATAGAGCCAAAAACGAAACTATAAAAATAAGGGATGAAAATGTCTTATCAACTTTACCCATAAACATTTTGTGGAAAAAGATAAAAATATGCCGGGTTCCACATGACTCCGAAAGCTCGGCCAATATTGTGGAGAATGCAAGACCTGAAAATTTCAATACCTATTTGCGAGTAATTTCTCAACTTACGCCATCGCTAGGTCCTTATCTCTTTGCGCCTGAAGAAAACTACTGGCAGATAGCATGATCGCACTGGTGATGAAAGATGTTCCAAGACCAAATGCATCTCCTTTTTGTGAGCCATTTTTGTTCATGAATTTCCGGCACAAGTCACAGTACATACCAGGAAGAAGACCGCAAAACAAGAAAATGAAGGCCAATTGACTCTTTATCAGGGATATTTTCGAGGAAAAGACTTGTCTTGCCATAATTTACAGTAGTTGAAATTGAAGTCCTGTCCTGACGTTTGTTGATTGCAGCATTGAATCCAGCTGGATCATCGTCGCCGGCAACCCATTCAGGCCATCCACTTCCTTTAAAAGCCCTTGTCAAATCCCTTGAGACAAATCTTACCGAGCCAGCCAAGATAAGATCCTCGTCTCATCGTCAAGCCAGCATGCCCAAGAAACAAAATGTAAAAGTTAAGATTCTTCAGAACATCCTTTATCGTGTACGTTTCCTCGGAAATATTCCCTGCTTTGTCGTCTTCTTTTGTTTCTATTGAGTATTCTGAGTAAATTTCTTGGCCGCGGATCTTCCGGATGATGAAGGAGTTCTCGAACAGAGAGTACTCAGTATTTGTGGCTATCTTCAAAGGCATCGAGTTTGGCGTCCAGAGAACGAGCTTGCGAAGGGTTTGAATTTAAAATGCACAGGAATCTTAATGAAATCTTAATGCGCACAATAAATTGCAAACCCATCCTTAATCACCGTTATGACAGCAGCACCGAGAGCCCAAACTTTGAAAATAGTGAAAACACCGACATCTAAGTTATCTTAGATTTGATTAACACAAAAGTGATCTCTAGAATACTCTTTAGAATAGCACTTTATTGATTAACCATAGCCATAATTATATTGATAAGCAGTCCAACGGATCCACCAGCACCAAACGCCGATGACAGTGCTAAAAAGTTCGCCTTGTGCGTGAAACGGAGTTGTACCTTGCAAAATTGACAATTTTATCGTTGGTAGGGCCAATGCCATTTTAGCATTGACGATGTGGTTGGAAACTCCTCCCGCAGCCATCAGCGGCCAAGCTGCCCAAATAAGGTCTATGTTGCCTTCGACGAAAATCATTAAGGTGAAGCCCGTCGTTACTAGTGCCCCCGAAATAATCCGAGAGGGAATAAAGCCGAATTTGTCGATGATGACCCCGAGAAGAAGGGCCGTAACGGCATAAGAAACATTTGATATCGTGTAAATATTGTTGAAAAGTCTGTCTCGATCGCTACAATCTTCGTCTCCTGTTACTGTGTCATTCGTACAGTACTTGGAATCGTAATGTTTGATGTCTTTCAGAATCGCTGTTATTTGTCCCTATCGCTGATTTTCCAAAATTCTTGTTGAGTCTTTATAATGAAAATCAACCCTTGCCCAGGACAACCAAAGTCCATTAATGAAGAAAGTTTCCAAGACACAAACTCTGTTCACGGTTGAAATTTAAGCTGTTGAACAGCTGCTTTTCTCTAAATTCAATGAAAATGGTAGTTTCAATCCGATCATAACGCAGCATAAATTCCCTACAATGGTTTTCGAAGACATAATTTTTCTTCGAAATGATTTTGAAACGGACGATGGACTCGGTGAGCGGCTTTATGTACCTGCGGGAATAGTAAAGGCAGAACAAAAGAATTGCAACTGGCTCTTCAAACGTTAACTTGACGCAATTCGTTTTGAAATTTCCGGATGAAAATTTGTAATTTACGGCGTTTTTTATCATAATTCATTTATTCTAAGTTTTGGCAGATTCGATGGGTTGCATGAATTCTTGGCTTTTCATAAGTCCTTGAAGAGCGTATTCCCAGTTTTCTACGATAAGGTACGATAATTTTAGCGAGAAATTATTAATCGTCAGAATTACTTTTTGCACAAGTTGAAGTCCGGCAGTGTTGAGACTTTCGTTACTGTCGTCAATATACGGAAGCTAGAAATAGATGCAAATAATTGTTTGAATGCGAAGACGAACCTGTCTTGTAAAGCGAATGTTCATTCTTGCTCTTTCGGCGCCAGGAGAAGAAATATAAAGAGTACCTCGAAATTTAAACAACGAGATTCAAAAATTAAAACAGCGATAACGACAGAGATGATAGGAGTTCTATCATACCTTCAAACGAGTACGCCAGCTCCTAAACAGTCAAACTCGAATTATTACCGTCATCACTGATCAATGTCACCTGGCTACCACCAAGTGGATTGACCGACCCTTCGCCAACTCTTCGTTTTTGTCGGTTCACACTTATTACAATCTTCATTCAAAATTATCGATAAAATTTCACCTGTAAGCATTTAGCTCATCTTCAAACTCAGTGAGAATTTCTTGGACGTGAACTTTTTGAACTAATTCGCTGATTTTCGCGGCTTCATGCGATTGCTGCATCCATTTCTCCGAAAAACGCCGTTTGATCTAAAAGATCGATCTTTATTGGCATTCATTTGCATGAGAACCTTCATGTAAAGCTCAGCGTAAATGTAGTTATTGAAGATTTCGTTGATAAGCGGGGCTAAGCCACCAATATAAGCGAGTCCAAAGAAGATCCACATAAGCACCATGAATCTGTAGATTACGAAGATCAAGGAATCTTTGAAAGACGGAGTTATGTCTCCAAAACCAACAGTTGTTAGCGAGATAACGACAAAATAGAAAGCATCGAGGAAAGTTCTATTTTCGATGAACTTGAACAGAACGGCGGGAATGAACATCGTGATGACCATTCCAACCAGCGTGTAGAGCAGAATTAGCTGCGATTTCTTTTTGTCACTCAAAGCGCCATTTTCTTTCGAAAAAGAAATATTCGAACAGACTCGCAGATTTTGCCAAGCAAAAAATTGAAGAAGGGAACGCTGGTAAGAGCATAGAACATGGAAAAGAGCTTCCCTCCTTTTGTCGTCGGATATACATCTCCGTAGCCTATCGTAGTTCCAACAACGCCGGCGAAAAAGAAAGAGTTTCGAAAGACCCAAATGTCGGGGCATTGGACGATGAGATTGTTGTGGTCATCGATGTAGCTCTCAATCTTCGAAATGGCGGGATGAGTCTTTTCTTTTGGCTTGGCGGGTTCAGTGCTGTTTCTCTTCTCGAATTGATTCTTGCTGTTTGCCTTGGGTGCAAGTGAAAACAACGAAGACTTTTGGAGAAAAAAATTTAGCTGTCTTCACTTTTCCTGAAGCTCCTCGAGCGCAGCAATAATCGCTTCTTTAGAGTTGATTTCAAGCTTTAAATTTTCAATGTCAAAGTCTTTTCCGTCAATAATCTTTTCGCACTTCGCTTTTTCTTCTTCCAATAATTTTTCAAGGGAAAATCCATTCGATTCATATACCTTCACTTTTTTCTCCAACAATTCCATCTTCAGAATAAACTCATTCGATCAGGAACAGAGAAGGTCAACAAACCTGTGACTTGTAGAACTGATGAAGCTGTTTGACCACATTTTCATTGATTTCATTAGCAATTTTTGCTTGAAATTTACGTCTTTTTGCATTGACCGCCTTATTCTTTGATTTTGGCAGTTGATCGCTGTTATAAATAGTGTAGGGTTCACTTGAGACGACTTCCATCTGGAGAACCTCTGGCTCGCCGCAAGGATCTTTGTCGATTCCTTCCAGTAAGTCCTCCTTTTTCAATGGCCCGTTGACTGAATCATGAATCCTCTGAAAGTCAACTTCCAGGCTGGAACAGTTTTCGCTCTTGTCCTTGATCACCAAGTGCGCCTTGCTCTCGCTCGACACCAGGTCATAATACCTCAAGCTCAACCCGGCGACATGTTCTCTTGAGATTGGAAAGCGCACGCGGATCGCAACAGTTTCTCGAAACGCCAAGCCAAACGTCACATTTTGCTGCTTTGAATTCAGCTTAGCAAAACCTACTGCATCCCTTCTTCGTCGAGTTTTGTTTCTATCGTCGTCTACGGGCAAGAAATGGCCATCATCACTGGAGTGATCCTGGTCGGTGATATGACCGATTCTTTGTGCTTTGAGATACGCTGTGTTTGGTTAAAATGCTCTTTAAAAATATCGAAGATGCATTTTTATAACCGTTCCGTCATGCGCTTTTCTTAGCTTCTCCTCGACCATTTGACATGTTTTTTTTCAAGTGGCCTTTCGATGGCCATAAAGCATGCACCTCCCATTAAAACATAGGCTATGTAAACTGCAAAAACCCATCCAATGTCTTTTAGTGTGGATAGCCTTGAGCCGGCCAAGGAAAGCCGCCTATATTTTCCATTTCTCTTTCGTAAAAGAACCATTTTCAACTTGTTAAGAAAAAAAGTAACCTTTTTTCTAATCAACTTTATCTGAAGTATTCCCACTGCCTTTGATTAGAGGTTTTAATTTCATGTTCTGCCATCGTTTGATTACTTTTTTTAAGAGGCTTAGTTTTTCGTGATTTATTAGGGGTATCTCTCAAACTGTCCTGTGATCGCTGACGGAGATGATAGTTGTTCATCCACAAATCGGCGAAACCGCCTGAAAAAACTCAATGTTATCAAATTCAATTCGAGCTCCCCCTCTATGATTCGCAAACTATGGCTGAAAATAACTATTGTCTAGCTTCTATGGCTCTAATTCGGTGAGTACAGTATTAAAATTGTTACCTCCAGGAGCTGGAATAGGCTGAAACATCTTTCAAGTGGTTTTTATTTTATTTCTCTCAAGAAAAGTTAGAAATCAAGCCGATGTTCTTGGCCGCCAAGGCTAAGCAAAAACTCATCAGCCATAAGTGTGTGCTCATGTCTACCCGAAAATGACCAGGAGATTTGAGTTCGTCCAATTCAATGATAATATTGGCAGCATTGGCAACACAATTTTATAGATCGACATAGACTGAAACGATCCAGTAGAGCATGACTTGAATATATGAAGATTGAGAAGAGGTAAGAATTTTATTATACGGAGGTCGGAAACAGTGCGGTCATCATGAATCTGGTGAACTTTTCTAGTTAGTGCAAATAAGTTGAATTAACAAGAGTCCACAGAAATTGAGGATCGTTTTCATCGAATGGAACAACTTTGATTGACTTCATATGGTCTTTCTCTCCTCTCCAAGCAAGTTCTTTTCCTTTGATAAAGATTTTTAATTATATTTTTTTTAAAAAGTGCTACCTTGACTGTTGGTGACTGTTGCCTTTATCCACCAATCTTCGCAATCCGCCATCTAAAAAATTACGATGCCCGGCTTTTTAACTTGAATTATTTACGTTGCATGCTTTTTGAAGCTTCCAAACTTGCGAAAAACCATCTCTTCCGATTTCATGGTGTTTCACTTGGTCTCCGATGTCAATCATTTCTGAGAAAAATTTTCCTTTTCTTCAACGATGACTATTTAACAAACCTTTTGCAAAACTTGCTCGACAATCTTTCCCTCCGCAGCCATGCGTATTGATAAATTACTCGTTCAATTTGTAAGTCGGTTCAATTTCAAGATGATGAACTTCGATCTCAGGTGTTGTCAGCATATATGGAAGGTAGAGGTTTCCGCAGGTTACAGAGAACTAAAACTCATTTCATCAACTGAATATGCTCGGGGATTATTTAACCTCTTTGTTATTATTGTTAATGAACCCAACAAGCTGGTTATAAAAGCATCTCGGCCCATCCTCCATCTCGATGCAAACATCCTCACAATCCATATCATAGCAAGTATTCGTTACAGGTGGTAATATTTCGCAGAGATCGCCTGTTATATCTTCCGGGCACTTATTTCGAAAAATCAATGGGGTAATGGTATACATCGGGGCGGCGCCGCTCGCTCGATCCGCGCTCCGCAAGAACCTATTTTCACGAGGCCGTAAAATCTGAACGGATCGAGATTTTTCGAGATTTAAACAGATTCGGAATCCTCAAAGTCTCTTCTACAAACTGATCGAAAATTATAACAATTTTCAAAAGAAACAATGTGAAAAGTGCCAGTTTCCTTCAAATGACATTTTCTCCTGAATTTCTCATCCAAATTTTTTGAAAATTAGACTGTCTTGTAGAGAATCGTCAGCTCTACAATTCCTGTTTTTCAGATTTCTGTTTTAAGCTTTTATTAATTTTACATCGCAATTTGTAAAGAGCGCTACTTCTTCTCGCGCCTCTCCGCTGCATATTTCTCGCGCCGCGCTTGGTTTGAAGCTAGAAGACATAATTTTTGAAAGCCTAAATGAAAATTCTGAAAAACAGAAATTGTAGAGCTGACGATTCTCTACAAGACAGTCTAATTTTCAAAAAATTGGATGAGAAATTCAGGAGAAAATGTCATTTGAAGGAAACTGGCACTTTTCACATTGTTTCTCTTTGAAAATTGTTTTAATTTTCGATCAGTTAGTAGAAGAGACTTTGAGGATTCCGAATCTGTTTAAATCTCGAAAAATCTCGATCCGTTCAGATTTAACGGCCTCGTGAGAAATAGGTTCTTGCGGAGCGCGGATCGAGCGAGCGGCGCCGCCCCGATGTATACCATTACCCTTAAGGTGGTAGATATCAAGAAAAAAAATTTCCATTTTTTTGCCTCAAACTTTTTCTACGAATAGTTTCGAGTTTTAAGCAAAAACTTTTTGATTGGACCACGTGATTTTTCACAAAATCGCCTCTAACATTTCGAAATTTGTCCATTTCATAAAAAATCGACTTATTTTTAGTTATCAAGAATGATAATTGTCCCAAAAACATAAATAAAAACCCCTGAAAACATTTTTAAAATGATTTTAACACCGCTGAATTAAAATTCAAAAGTTTAAATTTTCGTCGAAAAACGCGAAAATTAGGAAATCGACTTTTTCTTTAAAAATTTCTGAAATCAAAATTTCTGGCCTCCATAGGATCTAGACAAGGGTCTTATCTTACTTCTCAGAAGAAAATATATTTCGCCCTTTAGAAGGGTTTCGAGAAAAGTCTGCCAAGAAAATGGTCATTTTTAGCGATTTCCGAATTTTCAACGCCATTTTTTACGATTTTTCTCTTGGAAATTTAGAGATCGGCCTTCCATAGGCATGAGATAAGGGCCTCAACCCTTTATTAAAACAAAAATCATAGGTCACTATGTTACGATTGGGAGAAAAGTCTGCCAGAAAATCCCAATTCTTGATATCTACCTCCTTAAACTATGAAAAGATATTCACAAAAAATATTTAAAGATTTTACCCAAAAGATGGTGAATTTGTTGATGGTTTCGTTGTTGTCGTCGCTAACGTTGTTGTTGTGGAAAGGTTCATATCTTTCATACAGAGGCAATTGAACTTGTGTCCGTAGCGTTTTTTAAATGAGGTAGAAATTGAGACAAAATGAAAAAATTACTGTTAATTTTGCAAAAGGTTTTCCCACTGGATTTGATTTGTATGACCGGAACTCTGTTTTTATCTTCGTGGTCAAAAAGTCGCAGTCAATTGATTTCGTGGCATCAATATGATTGCTAGGAACAGGAGCTTCCAAATTGAGGCCATCATTCAACCAAAAATGAGCTTTTTTCTCTTAGGTTAAGTACCCCATCCAAATTTTTTCGTCAGGACATTTTCCCCAAAGAAAATCTTTGATAAACTCTACTTTTTCAACAGACTCTATCTGAAGTGGTTTGTCTTGGCGAGATTCGCAGAAATCTACGCAACTATCCCAAGACATCTCTGATGATGAGCTGCTACATTCATCAAGTGCATGTGACGCGGCATTATCTCTGAAATTTCAGTGCCTTAATTGCTCCAGAAAATTTTATTTAAATTATTCAATATTTCAAAAAC